TTAATAAATTCAAATATTGAGAAACAAATAATTAATTACAAACAATTAATTAACAACATGTCTATTAATAAGATCATATACATAATTTGATCAAGTATACATATATATGTGTAATTTAATAACAGTGTCTCTAAGTTGTTTTTCCAAGATTCGCACAGATAAAGGACGAGAAGTTTGCGATTGTCCCGATAATTCATTTCGAACAGACTTTTGCGAAGCGAGCACAATCTACCTAAAGATGCAAGACATCTCGGAAATAATCGACGGTCTTGTCTATCATGGGAACAAGCCGTGTAAATCAGATTAGTCGCCATTTTGGGACTAATGAGCCGGGAAACGAGCTGGCTGAATCGACTCGAGAGAAACAGGGGGAGGGAGGAAAGAAAGGAAGCAGAGCGATTCTTTCCTTTCTCCCTTTTCGATACACGAGGCGAGTCTCCACCCTCTATTCTATCCTCTTTCCTCATCTCTATTTTCCCTGAAATTTCCAAAGCGTTCCCGTTATTTCCCTTTATTCCTTTCCTTTGTTTTCTTATCCCATTCCCCCGTCACTCTCGCCGCTCCTACCCACTCATCCACTGTATCCCGTATTGGCCCTCTGTCTCGCATCCTTTTCAGTACTTGCAAACAATAACGCATTCCTGTAGCCGCGGCATGATAATTAACTATTCGTTAGACGTTGCGGAAACAATGGTGGAATGCATCTCTCGCCCGCGCGTTTACTCTTGAGCTACCGCTATTGTATAATGGTACGGTTTAGCATGATTAGCACATTTTAAGGTAGTGAAAACAATTGTGATGTACCGAAAAAGATATATTATCTTACAGCGTTCGTGACAATACGATAAATATTTGTAACTAATAACAAAATATATAAATTTCTCTTTCCTCTTCATGTCTCTCTCTCTCTCTCTCTCTCTCTCTCTCTCTCTCTCTCTCTCTCTCTCTCTCTCTCTCTCTCTCTCTCTCTCTCTCTCTCTCTCTCTCTCTTTCTCTCTCACAGATATATTTTTATATATTAAATTAAAAATACTTGGCTAAATTATATTATTTGTTATATAATATTTTTTTAAATTAATTTACAATAATTGTATTTATTAATCAAAATAGAAAGAAAAAGGAAGATATTTATATATTAGCACAACTCTCATATGAAATACATTATTATTTAAATTGATTCTTTTCGCTACAATAACATACTGTAATATAGTGCAATATAATTGGAAAAATATACTTACTTGATGAATTTAATGAAAATTTCTAGAGGTGAACATTAAGTATATTGTAAAATGGCAAATTTATTCAGTGCTTATCTCTTAAAAATATTTAAATAAATAAATAAATTTTTTTTAATCAATTTGATTCATATACTTTTACACATGTTCTATTGAACAATAAGTGTAATATGTTTTATGTAACTCATAATCTCGCAGACATGATGAGATATTAAAACATATTCCGGCACAATATTTCAAACTACGTTAAAATTTTTCGAAATAATTTTTCAACGAAAAGATTTGAAAATCTAAGGAATACGAAATGTAATACATTTCTTTAAAAAAATGTATCGATGGTATCATTTTTCACATGTGTCTCTCATTTTTTTTAGTAAGAAATACATAATTTTTCTTATGTGCAATATATGCGAATTTATTCTTTTTTCATTTTTATTTATTTAGGAATATGATAGAAAGTTTTTTACTTACTCTAGTCAGGGAATTACAGTTCTAGGATACAAACTCACGTCTTGGGGATTTTCGGTACCATTTCAAGATGCTTGAAGGATTTCTCGTACATTGCAATCTTGAAGATTTTCCCTTACATGTTTTTGCAAATAAAAAAGTGTTATAAAAATAGCAATAAAAATATGAAAGAAGAAAAAGAAAAGATATATTTAAAAAATGTCAAAGAACAGCAAAGAACTCTATACAAATTTCAAAGAATAAAAGGAAAAAATATACCAAGTAACACTGTACTTATAATATATCTTAATAATATCCCTAATGTGTATAGAATGTATCCTTAATGTAAAAATATATCTTTATAATATATCCTAAATACGAATATAGGGTAATTTAACAAGGAATATAACAGTGTGCTCTAAATAAGAAAGTACATTGCTATCGAACATATACATTGTAAAATTTTTCAAATGTACAAATCTTTTATGATCACTTGAGAAGATAATACAGCCTCTCTAGATTGAAACTCTGCGCTGTAATTGAGAAGTTAGTATTGCGAAACATAACAGTATTATAGTGTAATCGAAACCTTCCATGATATATTCAATCGTTCGACTATCACATGAGGAAGATATGTGCGCATAAAAAGTTATCAATTCCAAAAAATAATGATCCTTGGCAGGTGGTTTTATCCGCAGGTGGTTGCTAATCAGAATGGTGTTGAATTATTTAGCACGTAAAGCTTAACGAGAACAATAAAAACAAATGTATAAATTGCATGAACGAGAAAGTAAGGAAAAAAGAGAGAGAGAGAGAGAGAGAAAAAAAGAGAGAGAGGGAATCCCGTGCATTTCCGAGTGTCTGTTCGAAATTTAATCTCAGTTTGCAAATAGGAGCGACTTTAATTTTTCGTATCCCATCAAATGAAAGTCGTCTCCGACATTCGCTCGAATTCAGTTCTGGTCAAGGAAACGCACTCATTGGTTTATTGATCGAAATATATAATAGTAACAGATAATAGAAATATTGTAAAGTATCGGTATTTTATTCTTTTTATTTAGCTTTTTCTCTAAGTAAATTCTATTTAAGTACTTATTTTCTATGCACATAATATATATTCCTGGACAAAATTAACGCATAATTTTTTTTTCTTTAAAATTTTAATATCAACTTTTCAAGAAAAAGTGAAGAAGAAATTATGCGTTAATTTTATCCAAGAGTATATATAATAATTATTACTATACAATAATAAGAGATAAACGAAAGGACACGGAATAAGGATACATATATACAGTCGAACTAGATACACATAAAGCTATATGTCAAACTCGAGGCTATTCACCAGTCGGGAAAGCGACACGATCGCAAGCTACATTAGATAGATTAGTACCAATCCTCTGCCAGGTCAATGTATACCAATGTATACTAATTACCTGCTGCGTCACGCTTCCGCGATACGTCCTTAATTATCCGCGACCTGCGTTTTCTCACGATTTCGTGCTACGAAATAACGAGAGAATTTATATCATCTAGAGATTAAAAGCGATCGAAACCAAAAAAATTGCGCGATAAATGCGTTTAATGACGCGTTTCACTTTATACATGTATATATCTTAATTATGATTCGTTTTAAATATACACGAATATAAATTACACACGAATGAGAGGAACAATACGATTTAAATTAAGATAGAAAATCGCGAATATCAAAGATTGGAATAAAAATATTTCGAAGAGACGTACTTTATAATAATTGTATGGAATTGAGAAAAACATATAAAATATATAACGAGCTCTCTCTTATAGCTAATAAACTAAATTGTCGTGATGTTAAAATTGAATAAAAATAAAATATACTGTATATATATATATTTTTTTAACAGTTTTAAAATTATGTATTTTGTATAAATACCGCGACTTATCTATTTTCTGCATTCGTAAGATACATACATTTTTGTAAAGCATGATAATATTAATTTCCGAAAAAAAACAAAGATAAAGCAACGTAACGATACCTGACAATCAATCCGAGAACGCACGTGTCACGTATATACTGCACATGTCAACATATATATGTATATATATACGCACATGTGTATATACATGATTATATAGACATAGAATGCAATCGTATCTAAGCTAAAATAAACGGGACCATTAATTGGAAACGTGCGTAAGTTCTAACACACAGACTGCATCATCATTTATCCAAGGCGCATGTATGTATTTACGAAATGCGCGCGCACACATATACGCATTATGTACTGATACTGTTCTTTGCAAACAGTAAAAGTCTTTATTTTACTACAATTTTATTATTGCAAAGCGAAAGAGAGATCTTTTGGAAATAAATGTTTATTTTTGCTTAATAACCTGTTACATAATTAAAAGTTACATGAAATCATTAAATTATATATTACATTAATATTTTAAACTTTTCACTCAAGACTTTCGGTAATTTGAATAACTGGTTGCCTGAGCTTATTATCTACTTTTGCAATTTATTATCTGGACAACTGAGATTTAATTCGTAATTTTGATGAATCTATGAATTTATAATAAAACTGGAAATAAAATACTCACGATAAGATTGAAGTTTAAATGGAGGAAACGAGAGAGTATAAATCGCGTACACTTCCCAAACAACCGCCATATTATTATGGCTTTAGATTAATTACAACTTTCTATGACAGAGGTCAGTAAAGACATTGACATAAATTTTGAAACTCCAATGATAATTGAAGAAAGCAATATAACCGATTGACCTGTCGATAATTAAGTTATGTTAATCTGTATATTATTATATAATGACAAATATATACACAAGTTGATTTAATTTAGGCATAAAATGTGTCTGAGAAAGAGAAGCATTTCGATTATTTGTTCAAGTAGGCTTTAATAATAAAAATGAAAATTAATTAAAGAATTTCTACAACTCCAAAAGTATTAATAATAAATATTTTCAATTATATAAAATAATAAACAAACAAATATTTACGAAATAAATAAATCTATATAAATAAATCTAAATAAATAAATTTGTAAATAGTCTATCTAATATTCTAAATAAATAAAAACTTTAGTATGTATATAATAAATATTCTATCAGAAAATAATTAATAATTATATTTTTGTATTTATGTATTTTGATTATATTTTTTTATTGTGCAAAAGTAGGAATCTGTTTAATTTTCCCGTACTGTACATTGATTGGCTATCATTTTGCTTTCCAATACGTGCATTTGAAGCGAACTTGCACGAAAATACCTAGAGAATCTCTTCGATTTCCACTGCTGCCAACTAAATACATAGCGGCTTTTCACATGAAAACATCGGGCTTTTTGTTTACGACTGATAATTTGACAGTCGCCGTGAAATTTAGCGAGTTCTCTCGTGAGATATGGGAGACAAATCGCTTAAAGAGCAATCTATGGAAAATACAGGTCTCTTAGTGTAACTTATTATCGAAAAATTTACTCGAGTAATTTATTATTTTAATTCTTATTGCAGATGTTAATCAGGATGAGTTGATACTTCAACAACAGAGACGTATCGAGAAGGAGGTTAGAACGCTTCATATTCAAAGTGTTGTTTTTTTTAAGAGCTCCATCGATCTTATTGAAAACATATATATTCACACGATTAGAAATTAAATTTATCACATATACTTACAACTAGAGTAAAATCTTATTTTTAAAATGTTAATTTTGCTTCTATGACAATTTTGACAAACTGAAGAACATTTACTTATATTTATTTATACATTACAATTACTTGCAATTCATTATTAATTAACATATAACTATATATTTAGATAGAAAAGTTTTTTAATTATATAAATTTTTAATGAAACTATTGCGTGCTATTAATTTGATATGACAACTATTAATGTTTTTTTTTCTATTTTCTTTGTAAATAAATAGAATAGATTTCTGTGAAAGATTTTTACCTTTAGATAATAATTATCTTTTATGTTTTAGATCTCAGAGTCTATAGCTTTAGTTGGCGAGAAGGAATCATTGAAGAGCTTAGAACAAGAATATGCAAAAGATGATATATATCTTTCAAAAGCAAAAGTTTTGGCTCAAAAGTATTCTTACATTAGGAGAACCAGACCTGATGGCAATTGCTTCTTCAGAGCATTTAGTTATGCTTATTTGGAAAAATTAATCGGGAATAAAGAAGAATATGATAAATTTCGAGATCTAGCGTTAAAGAGCAAGGATAACCTTGTAGCTCTTGGTTTTCCTCAATTTACAGTTGAAGACTTTCACGATACGGTAAGAGTTTCTATTTTTTATAAATGTGTCTTGTTTGAAATCTTTGAGTTTATTATATATAGAATATGATATAACAATATATAATAACATATAATAAATATATATAAAAATTATATATTATATAATAAAATTATATAGTACATAACATATATATATATTTAATACTAAATAAACATAATTATATCACAATATAAAATTTATTTTAAAGGATCAATGAATTAATTTTGATGAATTACAGTTTATGGAAGTCATTGACAAAGTAGGCGGTGACACAGAATCCAGTCACATGGAGCTACATAAATTGTTCAATGAGCAAGGTTATTCTGACTATGTCGTTGTTTACCTTAGATTAATTACATCTGGTCAATTGCAACGTGATGCGGATTTCTACCAACACTTCATCGAGGGAGATCGCACTATTACAGAATTCTGCCATCAAGTTTGTATCTTGATATTAACATTCATATTTTTAGCCTCACATATTTACATGATTAATCCTTTTATTAAATTTATAATATACATTAATATTTTTTATAGGAAGTTGAACCAATGTATAAAGAATCTGACCATATTCATATTATAGCAATGAGTAGTGCTTTAGGAACTGGTGTTAGAGTTCGTTATATGGATAGAGGTGCGGGAACTGAAGTAACAGCCCACGATTTTCCTGAAGGTGCCATACCATCTGTGCACTTATTATATCGTCCTGGTCATTATGATATTCTTTACCCTTGATGAATTTGGTATTATGCAAATTTTTTTTAATATTACAAAAAACATTTTCAATGACCAAATCTATACTTCGATTTTTAAAAGCATTTCAGTTATAACGCATAATGCAATATAGTATGTTGTCTTTAATTCAGTAGAAAAGAAATAAGTTAATTTTTGTGCAAATGCACAAAGAATTTGTGCATTGTGTATATTTTCCAAAATATATCTAAGTGCATTTTCATTATCATACCTGTTGTTTCTATACATAAAGACATCGTAAAACATTTTAAACTTTAACAATAATTATCTGAAATAAATGGCAGAGAAATCGACGCATTGTGCTAATTAATTCCTACATCCTTTTCTTAATTTCGCAATAAATCCATTCTGTTGAAGATATACAAATCATATTATTTTTATGCCATACATTTGTAATACAAAATAAATGATATTTTGTTATAATATCATTTATTACATAGTATACACATATATAGTCTCTTTTTCTTTATATAAATGTATCACAGCAATTAAAAACATTTTGTATGTTTGACAATATAGAGTCTATCATAGGACAAACTTTGTTATGTATAAACAAATTATTTCCTTTTAAATTATGCGTTCTTAAAATTAAAAAATTAATAATTAATAAATTCTATATGATTCAAATTCAATATATAATATGCTTATATTATTTATAAATAAATAAATATATATATATATATATATATCTTGCAGAGAGATGTTTATACATGCAGAGTTCATAAAACAACTTTATATATATTTTAATATGTTATCGTTGCATAGATCGTACTTGTTCAGTAACTTCTTCCAACATTGCAGAGTTCTTATCAATCGTGCCCATTTGATATTCCAAATGAGTACTAATAAGTGCAAGTTTCTTTAAACTAGATTCTATCATTTCTAATCCATGTTCCTGCTGTGCAAAGTTTTTTGCTGCGTGCATTAAAATCTGTAAAAATATCACAGTATATATACATAACATAGAAATATAACGTCAGCTATGATTTAGAAATATGAATTAAAAGATAGTATCACCTCACTACTTTTTGACCCTCGCTGTATCTGTCTAGCGAGAGAAGCAATGTTATTAACATTAACTTGCACTCTATCTGCTAGTCTCATTTTCGATTCAATGAACAAGCTACGTGCGCTTGTACTAGATGCTGAAGCCATTGTATTATTGTATTCCTTCGCATTAATTGTGGGATAAGTTCTGTTCTTAATGTTATCCAGGCCTATTGCTAGACTGTACTGTGTTTTTGTGATTAATAGAATACTTATACTAGAAACACTATTTCATAATCTGAAATCAATAATATTATATGACTGCGATTGTATTTCTTGCAACTTACATATTAATATATGGAATATATGTCAGCATATATATTTTTCACCTTAGTAAATATCTTTCATTTATATTTATCCTTTTATTTCATGCATTATAGAAGCATGTCATGAAGATAAAATGAAAAAAATAAATTAATTTAATTACAATTGTAGAATTTTGCACGCAGATATGAAAAATGTTTTGTTTCTTATCGCGCAACTTCCCCTCCTTACACTAGTTTACGAGCAAAAAGAATCGCTTTTGAAAAAGAAATTCTATCACTGAGCTATCGATACATTGACATCTGACAACAATCTGACAATAACATATGACGTAAAACAGGCCTCATTAGACCGGTTGTGTTCTAAAATCCGATAACGATATACGACCTATTGTAGAACAGACCTAAAAAGTGCGAACTGTTCTTTCTTTCTGATTGGTCAGTTGTCAGCTGCCATCTTAGGCGTGCTTCAGATTGTACTTGTGTAGTCGTAGATCAAATATAGAAGCCTTAAGCTGGAGATTGTTAAGTAATTTAAAACGCTATTAATTAATTGATTATTTATTTAAATTCGAATATTTATTTATTATTAAACGAATGTATGTTATTCGACTTTACATGTGAAATGATTTATTAATCGAAATTAATTTGAAAAATATAAGACATAAAAAGCATTCAGCGAATTTATATTATAAAATGTTAAATATTTCAAGGAGATAACAAATTAATTATCATACACGGTATTTTTGATGTTTTTTTTAGAGGGGTAACTGATAAATGTAATAAGGGAGGAGTGAACGTCGGTTAATTCCGTCAACATTCGACTATTCGGCACAATTTGACATTACATGACGATTCCATTATCGATTCTCAATTAGATTTTCACAAAAATGTTTAAAGAGTATTTATTTAAAGAAAATCGCTACCGCTGCTAAATATAAAAATAATATGAAAATACTAATATTAAATAATATATAAAATATACTTATACACACACACACACACACACACACACACACACACACACACACACACACACACACACATATTAAATAATATATATAAATTTAAAAATAATATAATAAATATAAAAATAATATGACATTAGTCACAACACAACTTCGCACAATACATGTGAGCTGAACTTCCATGTTAATGAAAGAAGTTGGAGTTGAATTATTAACCGATCATTATCGGGAATAACTGAATTCAACCGACTCATAGAGTCCCCCCTTACCGCGAATATCAAAGCTCCCCTCGTCTTAATCGATAGTTAATCCTCCGTCTATCTATTCAGATGTCAATGTTGTCATCTGTAGTAGGTAGAATTGCGAAAATTACGAATCTCGTTTCGTTTGTCATCATTATTATTTTTCGAAATGCTAACGCGCGATTACCAAGTGAATATGCTCTACAAATAATTTTAATTATATCAATCTATTATTAGTATTATTATTTAATTTTTATTATTAATTCCTTAGTATATCAAAGTAATGGATATTAATTCTTTAGTATATCAAAATAATGGATATTTATTAAAGCAAATTTTAATTTTTCGAAAGAAAAATTTGCATCAAAATGTTTAAAATTTTATATAAATTAAAAACTAACAGAATATTCTAAATTTCTTTTGAATGAGCCATAGCATATAAAATCTGATAATTATTTAAAGAATAAGACTCATTCTATTTTGATCGAAATTATTGATGTTAATAAAGAATTTTTCTTTTATTCTAAATCAATATAATGTAATTCAATCATTGTAAATAATAATGTAATGACTTATCTTTTTTTATTGAAATAGTGCAAATTCCTTGTTACGAAACAAAGATTGAGTATTTATTATGGTTTTGTATATTATCTTTTTTTCAAGTTTACTTGATTAAATTATATTCACTTTATTTTAAAAGATATAATTATTGATTTTCGTATATTATTAAATTGATTTTCGCATATTATTAAAAATATTATACCATATTTTATTTGCATAATTTTTGACATTTTTGTATATGAAAATACATTATTATAAAATGCTATGGGCCAGTTTTGCAAAAAATCAACAGGTAGTTACGTGCGCGAAAGCTCTAACAGGTGGTTATGTGCGCTAAGAATCAACAGGTGATTAAATATTTCGAACCCTAAAGATTGACTTTGAGTAAAAAGGATATGAATCCCTGAATCTCGCGGTGGGCTCTTTTCTTACAGAATTACGATTATGAAATTGTTCATCGTCCGGGTAAATGGATGAGTCATGTCAACGCGCTAGTCGTTGTTATAGCGTACTTGTATTTGAGGGTAGTTGGAAAAAAACCTTGTCCGTTTGTCAAGACCGCGATAAGAATATTTTAAAAATTCGTGACAAACTTGAAAAGAGAGACATGAAACATTATGAATTGTGTGCGAGATGGACTTGTTATATAGGAAAGACAAAAATAAAATAATTACCCGCGAGATGTAAAAGATTTAACACAGAAAAACAGGGGATAAATCGCCGGAAATAATTCGCAAGACCAATAAATCACTGCCTATCTTTTACATACCGTTGTATGACATAATAAAGAACACTACCTTTAGATTTGGCGTTGCCGGAAATAACTCGCAAGACCAATAAATCTCTGCGTATCTTTTACATACCGTTGTATGATATAATAAAGAACATTACCTTTAGATTTGGCGTTGCCGGAAATAACTCGCAAGACCAATAAATCTCTGCGTATCTTTTACATACCGTTGTATGACATAATAAAGAACACTACCTTTAGATTTGGCGTTGCCGGAAATAACTCGCAAGACGTGCCTCGTGCATATACAATAATTATTATTTTAAAATTTAGAGTCACAAATATATTTCATCCGTGTTACTTATCGTTCTACTTGACAATCTAAATATAATTTGGATTGTGAGAGAACACGAAGTAAAACGCTCGAATTATAGATGCAAATAATTAGCATAACAAAAGACTCCGTGATAAATTGTTTAATAAATAATCAATTTTAATCAATAAATTAAAATATTTCATTAATTTAATATTCCGTTAGTGTATATTTTATATTACAGAAAATATTTCGGCAACGAGAGAATTATCAATAACACCGTGTTCGACCTATAAACATATTAATATGTTACACGGCTTTATTATCATTCGCACAATGATCTTGAGTAGTGATATGAGAGATGTTTCACATATTATCAAATTCTTTCTTTACATAGTCAACCTTGGCGATATAAACAGTACCGCGGTAAAATTGCTGACTTACAATCATTGGCTCAGTGGCTCTTGAGCAGTGAAGTAGTGATGTGAGACGTTTCATATATTATCAAATTCTTTCCATATATTATATTATATATAAAATTATATATAATATAACCCTCCCATGGGGTACACCTTGTCGCGGTGGGAGGGCTTAGTACTTGGATGGTGCCTTGAGGTTTATCTTAAATTTTTCTATTTATGATAAATCTTGAGGATCTTGAAGGGGAAGCCAAGTATCCTTTCGCGTCGTCGGTGCCGTCAACGTGCCGCGGACGGCGACGTTTCGTCCGTGTTTTCACGTTTTTAAATTCCCGTTTTTATCAACGAGTCTCTACTTCCGATGCCAACTAACTGACAATGAGATATTTCATCGAGTCGTTGCTATGCAATGTCGCGCCTTGTGCATCGCGGCACTTGGTGATGCCACGCAGAACATATGTCCAGTACGAAATGATTCTCGTAAGTAAAATAGGATTTTCGAAACCGGGAGTGCCGTTTAAAGAATATATATATTAAATATATACATCGCGCGATTAAATAGAAAATTTTTTATCATACCGAAAGTGCGGGAACCGCTCAGTATCGCGCGTAAAAGTGCGAAAATAGCGATAAAAATATCGCTCGTGATTGCGGGAGTGTCGAAAAGTATCGCGCGTCTAAGACTGAGAGGAGGAGAAAGCCTAGGAAAGGCATCGGTAGAGCAATCTTCTGGTAAGTAATTTATTTATTTGTAATTATATATTGAATATTTATTATAATTGCATGTGCGCAATTTAATTGGGCGTAATTAATCGCGTAATTTAATTTTTTACTTACATGATTTAAATAAGAGAGAATTGGAGAAAAGGGTTTCTTTAGCTACAATCTTGTAAAAGTATAAGCTTTTATAAAGTTGCGTTAGAGAATTATTAATAATATTTTTTTTCCAAAATTTATAATTATTTTATTAATCTACTTATTGTATACATCAAATATAAAATTCAATGCATACAATAATAATTTTTTGAAATGTTAATTATTTTGGACGCTGCTACAATTTGAATCCTCTATTTATATGTTATAGATCGACGCAACAACAACTGATGACCTGAGAGGAGGAGCAGGCCTAGGGAAGGCATCCTGCATCAGCGGAACAACCTGATGGTTAGTATTATTATTTATATTAATTATTATATTACATATACGTATTAATTTGATTTATTATTTGAATGATTTAAACAAAAAAGATTAAAAGAAAAAAGATTTTATGTAATTCCTATAAAAGTTTCTATTTAAAAAATAATTTTTTTCAGAATTTGAAAAATTATTACATCTTTATATATTTGTTTATTTTTTTATTTATATATTTATTGAGTGCATTGGATGTAAAATTTGGTGCATATAAAAATAATTGAATATGAAATTTATAATTGAATAATGAAATATAATGAAATATTAATTATTTTAAGAGTTGCTATAAAGTTGCTGAAATATTAATTATTTTAAAAGTTTGAATTTTATGTTTGTGTGTTATAGACAACGTAGCTTCAGTATTGACAACTCCGCTGTTGCGCATCAGTGTCGGTGAGTGAAAAACTTTTATTTAATTTTGAAGTAATGGATTTGTAGAGTTTGTAGATGTAGATTGTAGGTAAATCCATTATCTTATCAAATGGATAAGCTAAAATACATTAAATTAAATAACATTTAATAAGTTTTTTCGATATACATTGCATCTATTATAAAAGTAAATTAAAGTGTTAATTAAAAAAGAAAGATGATAGAAAAGATTTTTTTTTTTCAATTTGTATCAATTTTATCTAATTTTCGAATATACAGAATACTAGTAATTTTATCAATTACATGTAACACTAATTAATTTTTGTAACGCATACGGATTTTATTTTAATTTCTTATAGCTCATTCATGTTGTAGAATTTGTTTATAGACAGTTTCTGAATTTTGCTTTAATTGATGTAAAGCCAAATAATCAATTAATTAAATTATTAAAAATAATAGAATGATAATAAATGACATAAATGTTATTTTAATTTTTTATTTTATCATAAATTATATACTATTATAAAAATTTATATTATTAACATAATATTAAATTATATATTACTATGAAATTTAATGAATTTTTAATGAATTTTGATTGATAATTTGGTTTTATCTCAATTAAAATAGTTATGTTTAAATAAATGTGTAATGAACGATCGTAAAGTCACACGATCGTCAATGAGCACAAAATGTTTATGCTCTTCTGCCGGCAATTAGCCGGCAAAAAAAGGAGTTTTCTTTTTCCTCAATTTAAGCGCGTTTAATAAATCATTAATAAGCGCAAATGAGCGCAAGTAAAATCTTTGCGCTTATTTGCCAGTAATATTAAAATAAGCCGGCAATAAAAGGAGTAATTACCTCCTGTGAGAAAGTAACCAGGAAAGATAAGTTTAACTGATTCGAAGAATGAATATCGACTACGCAAAATTTAATTAGTATCACATGATTAGGGTACGCGATTAGGGTTCGCGATTAGGGTTCGGGATTAGGGCTCGCGATTATGGCACGCGACTAGGATACGCGATTAGGGTATATGATTAGGAATCCTTTCCCTTTTTTCCAAATTTCAAATAATTGGTGATTTAAAAGTAAATAAAGAATTATTAGAATTATTAAAATCGTTAGGATTTTAATATTTCAATACTATTTATATTTTAATCTTATTTTCAGCTTTTTTGATATGATCCCAGTATCATATTAAAAAAACTAGAGAAATAAATTTAAAATATAAATAACATCCAACTTAAATTTATCTTTAAGAAAGCTTTAAAAATTAAATTAAGCTTTAAAAATTAAAAAAAATATATTATTTTTAGGAAAATTAAAAATAATATTAATAACATAATTTATTTAAAAAATTAAAAATATTATATATGTATGTTCCATAATATTAAGTTGAAATATTAATGTTAACAAAATCAAATTATCAATTATTATAAATTATAAATTATTAATATATAATAATTATATGTTATTAATTTACCTTATTTGGATACTAATTTACCTTATTTGAAAATTAAATATTTGATATTGATAGCATTACCAAATAATATTATAATTGTATTATAATTATATTTTAATATTGTATAATTTTAATTTTATTATAATCATATTTTACATAATGGTATATAAAAAATGTATTTATAATTATAAGTTATATGAAATATATTCTTTTGTAAATTACACGAAAAATTATCGAAAGAACACGTATAATGACTATATAATAATAATTCATTAAATTAGCCAAGTTTTTTTAATTAAATTTTTTTCACTTTTTTGTTTTATATTAATTTGTACAAGTTAACTTGTACAAGTTTTCTTCCTTAAACTTTTATTTATCTTGTATAAATTTTTACCCTTAATTGGCACAATTTTTACATATCATTTTTGTAGATAAAACAACAGTTAGATACAATTTACATGAACTTAGCGTCCTTTTTTACCTTTTTGTTAAAAAGGTAAGTTTTTGGGGATTATATCACTTTTTTCAGTATAATTAATTTTTAGTATAATAGTTGGAGATATTATATTAAAAAATATATATATGTATATACATATATTTTATATATATATATATATATATATATATATATATATATATAAATCCGTCGATTTAGAATCAATTACTTTTTGCGTAAATTATTAAAAACATATCATTATTCAGAAAGCGGTTTGTCGTTATTTGCACAGTGATAGAAAGGAAAAACGAATGACAGGGAAATTCATTCTTGAGGCTTCATTCATTTGGCGTATTTTCTCAGTAAAAGAACGTAGAGAAAAAATTCGCAAAGATGATCATCGATAGACTGGCAAAGATGATTTTTGGAAAAAGTCGTGAGACGTGCCGAAGAGACAGAGGATTTACATCCCTCCCTTTGCCAACTGCATCGCATAGGCGTTATGTCAGGGAAAGGTTATCGACTGCGTCAGTGTACCAAGAATATTAATTTGTGACATCGATTGGAAATTCGCGCGATAACACGCCAATCGCTATGCCGAATGTAACGAACGAGCGGCGACAGATTCAAATGACATTAAAACTTTATATTATTATACTTTCATTATACATGACATTAAAACATTATTACAAATGACATTAAAACTTTATATTATTATACTTTTCCATGAAGGAAAACTAATTACATCAAATTCCATTGCGTTACTGAACCTAGATTGCTTCCCATGTTTTTTCGAACATATATAAAAATTTTTAAAGATTTTTTTATGGGATCGATGTATTATACTAACTAATGACATTAATAATAAAATAATCATTACTCAAAAATGACGTCAAAATAATGTCAAGACTATATCAAAATTATATCAAGACGTCAATATAAAATCATGTAACAAATCAGTCATTTTGACGACATATGACCAAAAATGATCAGTTTGGAACGTCAAAATGACGTGTGCTTCTTAATTTATGCTAGGATGCTCATAACGTAGCTCGTTACTGTACTTATGCTATGCGACGTCACAGCAGATCTAGCAAATCGAGTAAAAATAATAAAATAAATACCGAAAGATTTACATGTGAATAAGCTTTTTTGCTTAAATTAATAGTTAGAAGCATGGCTCACCAGATTCCGCGCTTTTTTACAATGAATAATATAATATGCCGCTGTGCGCCTTATGTCTTTAACTTCATAGATATCTTGTTTAAGTATCTTCGAAATATTTTTTTAAAATTTTATTTATTTTTTCTCTATTATTTGTAATACGTACACCATCATCAATTGTAAATTGTAAATTGTATTGTAATTATAACTATAGTATTATATAATTATAATAGTAATTTATAAAAACATGTAATAAATAATGCAGCTAATTATGGATATATAAATTATTTATACATAAGATGTGTTCTTCATGTTCTATAATTTATGTATGTAATCTAAATGCGTATTTAAATGGCGATTTTATCAGCAGTGAGAAATGAAAGCGATGGAGTGAACACGTAAAATGAGACGAATAGTCATCTGATGATAATTCAGGAATGTAAAAACTGTTGATAAGAGGAGTTAAAATATACATCGATACAATAGTATGCGAGATGCACTTATACTACAGGAGGTAAATATATTACAGGTAGTTTAAAGAATTGATGAAACTACTACTAGTATATTTTTATTGCTATTCATTTTTTTTTAATAGAAAATTTATAGATCTTACAATTTTTGATTGCGAATTTATCATAAATTAGCCTTCGATATTTTGACAATTAATATTCTTACATTAAATATTCGTCAAAATTAAAATAATATTTATTCAAAACTTGTGTGTGTGTACGTATGTGTGATTATAATATTATACATAAATACAATATTATAATTACATATAAATATAATATATATGAAAAAGAGTTTATTAATAAAATCATAGCATAACAGAATTATAACAGAATTAGCGAAAATTACGTGAAGAGAATATACTATTAATAATGACATTTTTCTATCGACATGATACGATTTATTTTTATTTTTGTAAGTAGAAATAGATGGCCATCATTAATTAACAAAGATAAATATATTTTAATAAAATAATTTAAAAAATAATTAGCATTAGTGACAAAAATGCCACGTTGAAAATATTTTTTTTATTTTCCTTTATTTTCTTTTTATTTATTTCTCAATATTTATTAATTTTCAATTCATTATTATTCTTTTTGCTGTCGAAATCTCTCTTCTTCTTCGTTTTTTACAAATATAATCGTTGAAAAAGTGTATTAAAATATATTTATCTGTAAACCGTTACGCGATATACGTTTCCTCCATCAACCATCTCGAAGAAAATAAACCTACATATGAAAATATGCCGGTGAATATAAATGCGCGCGGAGATATATCATGGCTGGTGGCAGGAGAGAGAGAGGGCCCCGACGCGTGGGCCTGACACGCATGGTCCCGTTGACGATCAGTCGGCAGCGCGGTCTTCGGTTAACACAGATGAGCCCCTGCAGACGTCGGGAATGCGATTTCGCGGGCACCGATAACCAGTGGTTATTATGCTTTCACGCTGTCATGGGATATTCGTCGTCTTATGCGTCGGTCTTGAGGTGTCTAGAGCATCGTCGACGGAAAATGGTATCCGGTGCACGCTGAATAGCGTCGGCTTGATGCTCCTGTTGCCGGAGAAGACGCATCAATGGTCGCTCTTGGGGTTGAATCTCTGGTCGAATCGCGGGGCGAATAAAGCAAGATATAACTCCAACGAGCAGGACATAAATCAATGGTCATCTAGGGGTGAGTTAAACGAAACGAACGTAGAATGTTGCGAGTAAGCATCTTCGGAGAGAGAGCTTTTATTCAGAAGAGAAGAAATAAAATTTAAAATATATATGACACTACACTATTACTGGATTATGACGCGGCGAAGATTATAATGTAATAATTGTCGCGTTCCTTAAGGATGTTTTTGTAAAACCTATTTTCAAAATATTGAGAATTTAATGAAAATTGTACAGAATGTCCTTATATATGTTTAGAATCTTCAGTACAATTTTTAAATCGATTCACTAAAGCGTTCACAAGTTTTAAGGATTTTAATTTGCACCGAATTAACATGTGTTCTTATGGGAAACATATAACCACGTCGATTCAAATGACAAAAACACATGGAAATAATATTTAGAATTTGTTTAAAATTTTCAAAAGTTAGATACAGAGGAAATATTTGGTCAAATAATATTATACAAGTACTAATTGGTTAAAAAGATATTAAATATAATTTAATGAAGTTAGCCATGTATCTGTCACAAGGCAAAATTCTCTGCCAAAAGTTAATCATTTCGATTAACAAAATTCGGAATATTTCAGTAAAAACGCAATAAATATTAAAAATACATCTCTGCGCTGTAGCTAAGATCAAATTGTATATTCCACACAATTTCTTATACTCAAAATATACCAAAAGTGGATATTCGTCAATATTGATTTTCAATTACTTTTTGCTGGGATTGTACATACGAAACATCCCTTAAGTCGCAAAAAATTGAATAAAATTCCACGTTATCCCTCGAGTCAACAGTTTTAGTTCGCCATTACATTGTTTCTTTATTATTCGAGAGAAAAGTAAAGAATAGACCCTCTTCTCTTTGCGATGTACAAAGGGATCCTGTAAATTTTATAAAAGTCAGTCACAAAAGTCATTCTAAGTAGTGTGTGAATGTAACAAATGATCGTACAATCGTTTGACAAATATTATTATTTTCAAATCACTCGTTCGATCCTTCAATCAAGACGTATTATTTCGCTTTTAAGAAGACACGCATGAAATACAATATAATTGATTATTTTGTGAATTTATGAGAGTAGATTATTTTTGAGAAATTGGACAAAATTAAATTTTCGTTGAAGGCTTTCTTGAAAAATTGTTTTGTTAATAAATGCAAATAAGCATTAAATTAAAATGAAAAGGAGGGCAAGTGTTGAATCGTAAATAATTTCTATCGAATTTTACAAGAGAGGAGAAGAGAGTGTAATCCTATTTATTTTACACCTCTGAAATTCATTCACTCAGTGACCAAAGAATAATCGCAAAAAATGAATAGAGTTATCGAGTAGAGTTTGATCCTTCTTCGCGCTTTACTGGCTCGTTTTGTGCAGTGCTAAATTTCTTTCCCGTTCCGGTGGAGGAAGAGTGCCTGTCCGAGGACAAACGACGTCAGGGAATATGCATGAACACATACGAGTGTCGCATCCAGCACGGAGTGTCTCACGGACCGTGCGCTCTCGGATTCGGCGTCTGCTGCATATGTGAGTTATCTCCCTCATTCCTCGTACGTATGCGAGTTATATCTGTCATCGTAGAAGCGCGAAATATTGCATAAAATTCGCTATGAGCCAGCACGCCGATTCATTCCGAGAGAAGGATAATCCGAATATCGACTTGACAAACTCGCTTTGACATCCGCGATACATCGTAGAAATCTCCAAATATATCATGTAATTTTTTTTAAACTGCTTCTCTCCTTTACATAGTCTAGATATGTATCTGTACAAGACGGTTTCGTGTATAGGCTTAAATTTAAATAATTCAAATGACACATGATTGTGTTTAGCAACTTTTTAATTTCTAACGATAAATTTTTTTCTAACGAGAATTTTAACTCGATATTATACTTTCTAAAATTCATTTGAGCCTGCTGCAAAATAGACATTTTGTGAACATTTTTAATTCTAAAATTTAATTGGTTACAAAGCGCTTTAATTTTCAAAGTATTAGACCTAATAATTTTGTATTTAATTGCTGCATACATTCAAGGAAGGAGAGACAATTTAACTAAAATTTATGAAGTAATGTATCATTTATATACGTTAATGAAACGTTTAACGAGAGAGAATATTTCGTAGACATTATAAAATGAAAAATTTAGCGGATCTTACTTATTTTCATGCAATTTAATCAATTTACATATTTAAGAAAAATATTTCGTTAAACACGGTAATATTAATTTTTTAAACAGACATTTTTTAAATTAAATTAAATTATTTACACACGATGTATCGCAGAAATCTTCAAATATATCATGTAATTTTTTTTTCGATCTGCTTCTCTTCTCTACATAATCATTTAAATACGTGGCTGTACAAAACGGTTTCGTATAGGCTTAAATTGAAATAATTGATCGCGATGACACATCACTTACACACGCACGAAAGCTTTTAATCAGGATTAGCATGTATCTTCAGTGTTTAAAGGCGATGCGCAATTGATGCCAAATCGATCAATGAATTCCCTCCACTCCTCAATTTAACGGTATCGAGACGACCAGGCGTAATTCCGAGACTTCTCTCTCTTAAGCGGCACACGTTCTCCTCGATAGCGTGAAAGGGAGCACTCGAAGAAGAAAGGCAAGGAAGAGGAACGGTACGAGAGCTCGCACGACGAGAAAGAACTTGAAAGCCGAGTTATACAGTTATTTAATTGCCTTTCGGCGCGGTCACTGAGAGGGGTACAACGGGTCCAACGTCTTGTTTATGTGTTTTCGAAATTCGTGAATGTGATCGGACATAGCTGAGCGCATATATTTTCCATTTAAACTATTTTAAAGGAGATAATTTAACACTAATGATATGCATTATACATTAATTCGTAGAATTTCGATAAATCGTAAGGTACATTATATCATTAGAATTGATATTTGTTTTTTTTTTGTAATCGTGAAGTTTTTTAGATTTATTTTGAATAGAATTTTGTGTGAGAAGCCCGACAATTTCTTCACGAATTTGAAGATGCTTTTCTCAAAATGTTATTGTATTTAGTAACTTTTTAATTTCTAATGATACATTTTTTGAGAATTTCAATTCAATATTGCACTTTATAAAATTCATTTGAGTTTGCTGCAAAATGGACATTTTATGGGTATTTTTAATTCTGAAATTTAAGTGGTCAAGTGCTTTAATTTTCAAGAGATTAGATTTAATAATTTTGTATATAACCGCTTCATTAAATTCCAGAAAGGAGCGAAAATTAAGTTAAAATTTATGAAGTAATGTATCATTTACGTGCATTAATGGACCGTTTAGCGCGAAAGGATACTTCGCAGACGTATATGTAAATGAAAATTTAGCGAATCTTATTTACTTTCAAGCAATTTAATTTAATCAATTTACATATTTACGAGAAATATTTCGTTAAATGCAATAATATTAAATTTTTAAAGAGATATCTTTTTAATTAAATTAAAATAACTTTTTACGGCGATTTTCTTTTTCAAGTATGTTCAAGTATATTTCGATCGTGAAATTTTACTAAAAAATAGATGAGTATTTTTTTAATTTATATCGCATTTTTTTTAAAGTCTCCAAGTCTCTCGTTTAACGCGGAAGCAGTTCTTATACAGCTAGGCTTTTCGCGACCGTTCCATCTTCCGTCTCCGTTTCGTTCAATTGTTCCTTGTTGCTTTTTATCCGGTCTGCATCCATCCGCTCTTTCCGCCACGGTGCATGCTCTGTCGAAAACAGGGCCATACCGTACGTACGGATTCTTGACCGATTTCCCGAACACCACTTCCTACTAGTACGTCTGCTTCTCGATGCATCTTGCATGCCCGAGTTTTGCTATCGCGTCTTCCTGTAATAATTTATGTATATGCAATACATATGATATGATTTATTGATATGAATTTCGAGATACAATGTAAAGAGGATGCATATATTCGCGCACATTTGTGTGCGTATGTGCACTTATGTGAATTTACAAGAATTCTATAACACGAACAAAACAAATTCCTAATGCTTTCACGATCAAAGATGTATGAACATGACCTTTAGCTATAAATAATTCCTCATAGCTTCTATACGAGATTAGAACGGCGATTATATAATGAGCGGCGAAGAACGATAGGAAAGAAAATTTATATTGTATATTTATAGATGCAGATCTTTGTGATAACTTATCACATATTTATATTAAAATTTTTTTTGTTTAAATTAATTTTTAAAATTTTATTTTTATTCTAAAAATTTATTCAGATAATATATAAATTATATTTTTTTACTCGAATCTCAAACCTTATTTCTTCAGATCTGCAATTTTTTTTTCATCGAAATAAATTTTATCAAAATATTTAAGTTTTAGATATTTAAAATGTACAGTAAATATATTTAAAATGTTTTTTGATACAAATAAGCGAAAACGCCTAGTGCAAATTTGTCAAGAATCATAATTATTATATAGAATTAGTATCGATTTCAAGAGAAAAGTATCTGTACACATATCTGTACATATCTACATATATTTGTGCATATCTAAATGGAATCTTGGATATTACGCGTACGTAAGCACGATACCATAAATGCGCTGTGTTTGCGAGTGCTTCTCGCAAAAGCTATCCTCCTGTATCTCTTTCTTTTTGTACTCTTTTTACCGTTGAATGCAACGCGCGACATCAGACGTTCATACATTTTTTATACTGTCCACCAAGTTTCCACCCCGTTACGGGATGGAAGAAGTAAGATCTACATGCAAAGGCGGTAACTGCTTCTTCCTAACCGGAGCGGCGGGTTACTGAAAGCGCTCCGAGATTCTAAAACGGTCACTGAATACCTGAATGAGAACTCGTTATCGAAACCGGAGGCTGGTCGCTAGAATGTCACGCGATAACGTTTAGGGCGGATAGTTTGCGAAAATGTTAGAATGTCTGGCATTCGCACTTAATCCGTCCATGGATATGAATTTTGATCAAGAACTTTCGACAAGAATAACCAATTCTGCTCGAACAACTAGTAATAATAATGATTATAATTTATGCCTACTTTCGAATTTAAGTTTTTTTTAGATATAGATTAATTTGCGCAAAATTAATTGTAATTTTGAAAAATTGTTTTACAGGAATATTATTATATACTGATACATAGTATATAATATAGTGTCAAAAAAATCAAAAGCTTGCGTTGAATATCATTTTAAAGAAATTAGCGTCAAATTCGAGTATCTGATTTTTTTATAGATCAATCGATATAAAATCTATATTAATTGATCAGTATAAAATTGTATATATTTGAATTTAGATATTTATGTCATATCTCTTTTACGTAAAATTAATTGTAATTTTGAAAAATCGTTTTATAAAGAAATTATTATTATAATTATAAAACGTACCATATAAAACGATAAGAAACGATGAAGTAGAAACTTATATTTCTTAAGAAAGCATTGAACTCAAATTGATTTTTTTTTATATAAATTAATTCGTAAAATAAAGTCGATATTTAACAAAAAATTGTACATCTGAGTTTGGGTTTTTTATATAGATTAATTTTAATTGCATTTAATTGCATTTAAAATTAATTGCAATTTTAGAATATGTTTCAAAAAATTATTATATTTGATTTATATAGGAGAAGCAGAAGTTTGCATTGAATGTTTTTCGAAGAGTTAGCATTGAAGTTATGACGATTTTTTCTTTTATATATAAATCAATTCGTGCAAAGTCGATTGACTTTAAAAAATTGTTTCGAAAGAATTATTTAACGTACAGAGACCATACGTGTGAGAGAAGTAATGAAAAACAGCAGCTTTTACTAGCTATTTCTTAGAGAAGTTAACTCAATATCGAACTCAGGTGTCCGATTTCCCACTTAACTTTAGAAGGCTAATAGCGTCATTATATGAGTAACTTCAATATTGGACACGCGCCAATTTATTATTCCTGCATCTATACAATCCTATTAATCGCGAATGCGATTTTGACGATTTTAAAATGATAATCGATTCGATATTTTTTATATAGGATTTATATATCTAGTTTCCATTACTTCGTACCTAGTGCGGTGTAGAACCAAATTTAAATTGATGGAAAATGCGTCTGACTACGCTTACTTCCCTCTTCGATCCGTAAATTTTATCGGAGTGGCAGCGAATTGATACAGAATTGAATTTAATCGGTAGAAACGCTTAAAAGTAAATAATGTCAACCTCTACTTTTCATTTTCAAAGAGAGATTAAAATCCTCAACCGATGGAAACAATTTCAAGAAAAATTTATTTAGAAAAATGAAAAATAAACGTGGTCTTTTTTCTTTTTATTCGACTAACTATATTTGATGTATTCTTCAAAAATTGTTTGTTTATATTCAAAAAAGCAAAAGTTGGCTTTACTGAAATATCAAAAACTTTCTCGTTTTTAATATACTTGCAGTAGAAACAGTACGTTAAATTCGATGTGCACGGAAGCAAAATTGGATTGAAGACTTCGGTGGAAACTAGACCATAGACGCGTAATCCCATGAAATTAGGAAGAGGAGTCGCATTAGATTGACTCTGCTGTCTAATTAAATATTTCGAAACATACGGTACCGCAACTCTATCCCGTTAACTGTGCCGGTCAATTAATGTGGTTTTCAGTCACGGCAAGCTGCGACAACGAGGTACAGAATAATCTGACCTATGTGACCAGTCCTGGTTTTCCCAACCTCATCGACCGGCCTATGAACTGTACGGTGGTTGTACGGAAGATCGATACGGAGGTCAGCCAGTTGAGGATCGACTTTGTCCATTTTAACATTGTAAGTTTCAGGGATATGTCTCATTGTTGTGACGTTATCCACCGGCGGGATCCGCCTCGGCCAATCGCAAACGTCGATTCCCCTAAACTCTAATATTCCGCAAGTTGCCAAGACAATGTCGATGCTAACACGATGCGCGTAAATGAAACCCTCTTCTTCCAGAAACCGCGACAATGCTTTCTTATTGAGAAATCAATATTCAGTTATTGCATTTTGTGTAAAAAAATGGTTAAATACATTAATATATAATAGTTCCGTGGATGTCCTTTTAAGTGGATGTCCTTTCCAGTAAATTGTCTAGTTAATTTTTTAAAGTCGATTTTTCTGGAGCGAAAATGTTGAGGGCGGTCATTATTTTTTGCAAGAGTTTTCAACTTATTTACTTATTCTATAACTAAGTTTAAATGAAAACCCTATTAAAGTAAATTTCATCTGAAATTAACTAAAGAATTTGTAAAAAACATATATAAAATTACACAAACATAAAATTATAATAAATAATGAAAATTTCATACATCTCTATTTATTGTATAATTATTACATTTATTATTCCTAATTTCAATTTTTTACAAAACTTGTAGTTTTATTTCAACTTTTGACTTATGACAAGATTTAGTTTACGAAAAGCTCTTCTTTTTCAATCGTTCAGAATTCAAAAATTATTGATATTTTCGCTAAAGAAAATCCTTTAAATTGGAGTCTGCTATTGAAAAGACGTCCAATTTAGGAGCATTATATGTATAATCTTATTGTAAATAAGTCAGAGAGAAAAAGAGAAATTAAAAACAAATTTCAGGGCCAACCAAATGCAATGACTGGCGTATGCGATGGAGATGTTATGGTAATTAATAACGGCAGAAGATCTTTCGAACTGTGCGGATGGAATAGCGGACAACACGGTGAGAGCTTGGGTCTCTTCATTCTCCTTGTATTTTACAACTTCCTTTTCGCAACAAAATTTATAGAGCGATTTAAATATAGAATGCGTTTGTTTTAGCTCAAAGAAACATATATATTCCTGGACAAAATTAACGCATCGTTTTTTTTTCACTTTTTCTTTAAAATTTTTCGTTAAAATTTAAATATCAGTTTTTAAAGAAAAAGTGAAAAAAAAATTATGCGTTAATTTTGTCCAAGAGTATATATATTTCATATTTTTATATATTTTATATATTATTATATATTTTTATTTATATATATTATATGTTTTACATACATAAGTATGTATACACGTAAACATATATTTTTAATAGTATACGTGGACGCAAGCGAAGGCAACGAACCGATCACTTTAAACTTCCGTCTGCCAAGCGGCCTGCAGTCACGAATGTGGGAGATGCGCGTGGTGCAATTGGGCTTCGAGCAACGTGCGCCAGTTGGGTGTCTCCAATATTTTCGCTCGCCAAACGGCACGCTGAGGACATTCAATTATCTGCCGAACGGCAGATATCTCGCCGGACACGATCACTTATTGTGCGTGCGTCAAGAGAGGGACATGTGCGGTATCGCTTATCAGCCGTGCACGCCGGATTCTTTTCGGATAGGAACCGGCAGGACCAACGCGACGAACGTTCCTGCGGCTCCTGTCACGAGCAACGGAAACGTCTCCACTTCCCCCGTCGTCGATCTAAACAGCATCGCGAATAACTCCAACGCGGATGTCGTCGAAGGCTCGGGAGCGGGATCGCCCGAGCAGCAGGAGATGGTCCTCACCACCGGCACGAATTCGGCGGCCCCGGCGATCGGGACACGTTGCAGGGACAGAATACTTATCCCTTGCGATTTCGAGGAATTTATTACGGTACGTCGCGCGTTTAATTTTAAAATTTCATTTATGGAAATCAATATCAAACTCGTTTTCTTCTTCTTTTTAATTTAATTGTTATCGTGTAGATGTAGCTAGCATGATAAAGAAATATTAAAAAAAGAAAAAAAATTTAATCAAATTGAATTAAATTGAAATAAAATAAAATAAATCTATTATGCTAAACATGATAAACATGACAAATATAATTAAAAAAAGAAAAAAATTTAATCAAATTGAATTAAATTGAAATAAAATAAAATAAATCTATTATGCTAAACATGATAAACATGACAAATATAATTAAAAAAAGAAAAAAAATTTAATCAAATTGAATTAAATTGAAATAAAATAAAATAAATCTATTATGCTGGTAAACATGACAAATATTCTTGCCTCTGAAATAATCAATTCTTATTAATTTTTATAGAAAAAAATTGATATTTAATATTTTTAATTAATTTTTATTTTTTATGAGTCTTTATTTTCTTCTTGACTTTTTCATCTCAGAAACATGCAATTATTCCTTTAATCAAGACAACATATCATCATTATTTTAGTCGTAAATTAAGAAACCGAGACAAGTTCTGAATCACATCCTTACTAATTCATTTATAGTGAAGCGCCGTGGTTCGTTAAGAAATAATGTATAATTAATGTGCTTTTGCCATTCATATGATATGAGAGTCTAAAGATTACGAAAGTAATTATTATTTTTGCTTGGTGGCTTCGCTTCAACATAAAATGTACAAAAGTAAACTATCAGTTATCTAAATATTCCATCAGCCACACGCAATCTCATGAAGATGATTTGTCTGTTTTTATTATAAATGATACATCCTGAAGTCCAATAAAGACATGAAAACTGGTCGGAAAAATCGTTTAAGCTTTAATATTAAATTCCTTGAAGCCTTAATATTAAATTCTCAAGCTTACGTGTATTATTTTTTTAAATTAAATATTTTATTTTGTTAAAAAAGTTCAATATTACATCAGGAAATTTAGAGCTAATAAAAATAGTGTTATATTTCTTTTTCTCATCGCATTTTTAATAAGAATTGATTAATTTTACAAAGGCAAGAAAAAATTTCTATTTTTTTGTACATCAGTTATTAATCAATTTGATTAATGCAAAGTAACCACGCGAGACACCTGAGTAAATACCAATTCGCTAAAGTTGAAAACAATTTGATCCCGATAAAATAAAATGAAATAAAATAAAATAAAATAAAATAAAATAAAATATTAGAGTAAGGTGAGTAAGCTATGTAATAAGTTACATTTGGTTTATTAGACCGCAGCGGAAAATACGTATGTCTGTTCCAGCCGGGAAACAACGTGGCGGGTGTCTGCAATCTGGAGCATTGCGGCAACTCGCTGTGCAGACGAGACGAATTCGATGCGGAGGGCAACTGCCGCGTGGAGACCTGGACTACGCCCTTCCGTATAAGGGTGGCTTTCGGCCCCGGGAGCAACACGACCGGCACGCTGGCGGACAACACCGGCATGTGTCTTACGTATCAGCAGTTAGCTTGCGTGGCTTGAGAGCGCTTTATAATTAATTTCCACTCTCCGCAAGATGCTCACGACTTACGAGGCAATATCGCCCTCGGACGAGAGAGAGGGAGGGACGATATTGACTCTGTACCGCTCATAAATTGTTTCCGCAGCGCGCGATATCGTATCTCCACGACGTAAATAACGGAAAGAGATCTTAGATATCGGGATATAATAAAGGGGATTTGATTTTTCTACCCTCCCTCGGTTTATCTAAGTCTCGATGGACGTAGGAGAGTAATTACACAGGGTCAATTAACACATCACGGGAGGTCAAAGAGTCAAATAGTTTTTATTTACAAATGAACTAGCTTAAATCGCGTAAACGCAGCGCACAACTCTCGATATAGTGATAGATATATATTTATATTTAATTCGCCTTTGTGTCCCGCTTCTGTTTATTTTTTCTGGTTCGATTGCATCACGATCATCATCGGCCGCGATACGCAACGTGTATGTGTATGTGTGTGTGTGTGTGTATGCGTAAATATGTATATGTGTATCAATCACGAGAAATTGAATCTATCCACTTATCTATCCATCGAAACTGGTCGAACGCGAGATTTAGCGCAGCGCAAATTACTCTCATGTGTGTGTATCATTACATATAACGGTGACTCTGTCGCGAAAGATGCCGATGAGGATCGCGGCGACCGTTAGCGATAACGATATATAATGACGTTACAAGAATAAATTATAATGTCGTCGATATATACGATAATATCGACGATGGCAACATCACTTCGAATCGCTCTCCCAGAAGGAACGCGCGCATCGTCATCTTGTCCCCGATAAGGGGCCAAGATCGCGTTGCAGCCCTTGCCTCTTACATCAAGCTACTTCGCGTATATCTTTAAGTGTCGCGTATGTATAATAACGATAATAATAATAATAATAGCAATGATAAAATCAGCGGGTAATGTAACATAATGGAGACGTAATTCGACGACATGCGAATATATATATAAATTTACATCGGCGTCGTCGTCGGCGAGACACGTCGCTTTCCGTACAATTCGAAATCATATCGCTTTGCCTACCTACCGAAAGTCAAAAAGGATCGTTAAGCATTAAGAGAGGGCGGTGAATTCGCGTATACGGTGATTGCGCGTGTACTTGATCATGGTCACTTGGTGCGAGGGAGAAGAGGGAGGAAGAGGGGAGGAGGGGAAGAGGAGGAGGGAGCACACGTTTCTTTTTTTTTTCTTTTCTTTTCTTTTTTCTTGAATCTGTCCTAATACTCTACCGATACAATTGCGGACGTTCGCGGGGCGTTTAATCCGCGAGAGGAGTATCTCGAGGCCGTATATGTGGATATAAATAGATAAATCCATATTTATAAAAATCATTTCGAAGATAAGATATATATATATACACGTGAAGAATGATTTATTTATTTATTAATTTATTATTGTTTTTAATGAAAAAATGCTGATTATTCCCGTGACGGTTGTTACGTCAAAATGCCTCTCGTCTGAATCTTGGGGACGCGAGAAAATTCAAGAAACCGTCGACGAATTATATCTTCGGATCGATTAAGCACCCCGCCGCGCCCAGCTTTGAGCTACGTGTTCCCGAAAAAAGAAAAACTATCGGACGTTCGTCGTTGTATTTACATCGTCGAGCGATACAACGGAGCACTGTACAATTCGTGATGATTTGCGGTGAGCGCGGATGATGCGAGAGATTCGAGTATAAACGACGATGCCTCTCGCGCGAGATTAACGTTAAATCCAGAGTCGTAGCCGCCTCCCGGAGACACTCTGGGACACGCTCGATAAAAGATTCGAGATCCGAGACGAATTCTGTACGAGAGTTCGGATGTGTTCAGTGAATACCTTGTGAATTTGCGAGCGTTCAAAGTATTTGTTCGCGTGACGAGATATTTCTCGAGATTTTTGTTCATTTCCGGAGAGAAAATTATCGAGTATATAAATCTCCCCCAGCATCGCGATACATTTTTGTCAATTGAATGTTTCGAATTTTCGCCATCCGAACCGCGTAGAGAGAGAATTCGACTCAATTTGCGCCCGCATCATCCGCGCGCATCCTGTTTAATTATTAATTATTAATCGATACTACGTATTATATAGAAAACTTGGTATTAGAAAATCACTGGACTCTCTTCCATCATTGATCCGGATAGTGGACGACAGCGGAACCAACGGAAAACGCTTCGGAAAGGCGACGAGAGCCCCAGTCGATTAGAATCGCCAAATTCCTCGGGTCCTTTAAATCGAGACATTTTCGAGACACCCGCGAGGTCTCGCGTCCATCTCTCATGTCGTATTTACAAAACTGGCATGAAAATATGTACGAGATTAACAGTAATAATCAAACGTATTTGGAATAAAGTTGACGCTCGTAACAAACACGCAAAAAAGAGCTCTCGATCGATATTCATTAAACAATTTCGTGGCGCGTTATCGCGATCCTGTTTACGATCAAAGTTCGATGTGATCGAACGCTCGACATACATACGAGGTGCAGCGAGATACGACTCTCGCGATGAATCCGGACGTCCCAAGCAGTCTGGTCAACGTAAAGCGAAAGGAGCGAACGCGATGGTGATCGGCGAAAAGTATACACATCGCCGCATAAATCATGCTAATAATCTTTATACGCTGTGGCCGTCACGAAAAGAGTTTAGGTACCATAAAATATTTGCCACCGCAACTGTAGGGGCGCAAAAATGTGCGCGCGCGCGCACGTCTGTGCACCCTCGCTCTTTTTTCCCCTTAAAAACTGTTGTGTGTGTGCGCGCGCTCATTGTATGCCGCCGATATGCATCGTTATTATATTTTGTTCTCTTTTTTTTCTTCAATACTCTCTCCTTCCCCCTTCCCCTCTCCAGTTCTTGCCGTTTTAAGGGTCGTTCGAGACGCGAGGGAGGACTTTTAAGTATCGATGGCTCTATCGCACGTGAAGCAACCCCACTTGTACTCTGTCTCAAGTGTCGCATTCAATCTTCTAGTCCCGAACTTAAAAACTCTTGGATAAAGTAAAGATCGCTCTACAGGGTCGAACAACGATGTATCTCTCTTTATATCCTCAGACAATTGGGCGCGAATTGCCGGGCAATTCACTCAAACCTATTCGGGCTTACTTGAGACGAAGATTTTTATCACGACGAGGAGAGCCGAGAGAAAATATCAGAGACTTAATCATGTATTGTATAATATCGCCTCGGAAGATTGTTCTTGTAAGCGTGGATGCATTCGTCCTTTAAATTAACGCGATTGGTTTTTCTCTCGGGAGGGAAGGAAGGGCATTTCAAGTCTCCGCATCGATCTGACACAAGGCTCTCTCTCTTTCTCTCTTTCTCTCTCTCTCTCTCTCTCTCTCTTTCTTTCTCTCTTTCTACTTTCTTATTTCGAGTCAACAGTGTTGAATATTGCAACATGCATGCGAGCATTCCGCGAAATGTATGTGGGCGCGCGTGAATGTATGTACTTGTATGGCACGACACGCGGTATAGTCTAGTCAGGGTCGAATTATGGCTGGCTTCCATTTACAGGGCTGCATGACGATTGACGATCGTGTAATACTCGCCGTGTTATTGCTACGTAGGAAATTGCGAGAGCGATGGAAATTCTTTCATTTAAACGATATATGCCTATTCGCGCCCGTTTCAATTTGACACGCGATCTATGGCTTTTCAGCGCGCAAATTCGAGTCAAATATATTCCGCATATAATTTGCATTAATTTAAATATTTAATTTAAATACTTGTGTATTTAAAGAATTTTTATTTTCCACTTTCAGTCGGGATTTTCTTTGTGTTCCTAAAATGACGAGCTGGAGAAGCGGCGTATTTTGCGAAAAACTTGCATCAAATCGTGATTTATAAAATATAGTCATTAGTGTGCTCAACTCTTTCTGCCATTGGCAAATTGAATTACACGAGCGGATTTTCCTGCGTTATCTGTCTCAAGTGTTGTTCGACTCAGCAAACGCGCAAACAGCACAGCACGGACAATAGTATACAGTCTAATGACAAGGCGGATAAGAAGAACGTAACACGGAGAGTCGATACACAACCCTGGATATGGAAATTCAGTCTTTATAAGGCACAAAGAATCTGGGCGATTGTGAACTGTGAGTGAAACTCAAGCAGCGATAGCAGCGCGTACAAATGAGGACGAATGTTGAAAACGGTCTCCCAGCACAAATTATTCATACACCTTATTATTAGGCATCAGACTAAAGGGGGATGACATAGGTATTCGACTTGGCGAAAAGTGTCACGCGCGAATGTATTTGAAACGATTCGAGACATCAAGATATTCTTTTATATTTTATATGTGCGTTTTGTGTGTTTACGTGTTCGTGTGTTTGTGTGCGTGTCTTTTGTATAACGATCGACAAATTGAAAATTTAAATATCAAAAGATCAGATAAAATATATAAACCGTAATTGTGCTATTAAAAACTGGAGATTATTTATCCGTTTGTTTTCGCAATATATCGATATTATTACTTGCAAAGAATCGAAAATTAAAAATATACAATCAGAGAGAGGGGGAGTATACGCGTGAAATAATCTGGGAAAAAAAATATTTCGTGGTTGGCATTTCGTGGCTTATTAAATTGAGAATATAGTAACAGACTCTACGGTCTTTAAATATGAATCGAAAATATATTAAACCGTAATATATGTTATATGTTAAGCTAACAAAATTAAAAATAATGTGGAGAGAATTTATTTTAATAAGCGCATAAAATATATACGCACATGTATATTTAATAATTATATTTCCCGCACTTTTTTTAATCTCTTTTTCACAACTGACACGTGTTTCCGTTGTTGAGAAAAGCAGATCTTCCCTTCGCGAGGACGTCCAAAGGGGACTTAGAGTTCATGGTTTAATTAATTTTATGTATTGGAGCTTCATGTTTTGCGCTATTTAAATGCTAATTTGCTCTCAACTTTTCACGTTAGCCTGATTTACATGTAATGGAAATTTATTAATTCATATTTATAATATCTCCATTATTACGATATATACGATGTAAATAATCTTCATTCTATCTGAAAATGTATTTTTCCCCTGTAATAATAATGTACATTCTATACCCGATTTCCGTATGAAAGTAATTTGTGTCGTTGGGACATTATATCGTTTTGCGCGATGGGACATTTATATCGTCGTTTCATCAATTTCCTTCTTCAATGACACATCAATCATTTTTTTTCCGCCACGCTGTCGCTATAAGCAGATTCAACATATATGTGGCTTAGGAAAAACTACCTGCAATTATTTATATCGGGCAGTAATTTGTTTATTGTAAAATGAGAGAGAGAGACACCCACGTAAAATTTGGCAAATTGTTACAAATTTCAAGATAATTTCCCATTGCCAATGTCATTGCAGAGATGCGTATTAAGTCGCGAAATTTCGAGCTCAAAACGAAAAAGGACAACAATTCATGAGAAACATCAGGTACTCGGTGTGTATAAAGTTGAATTTATTAATTAACGGAATAGACACATGCACGTATAAAAGCAACGATTGTGCGCAATAAATAATATCAAGGCTGCAACATGCCCGGTATTGCTATATAATTATATTATTCTACGAGTAGGATGAAGAGTCACGATTGCGTGTTGTTCATTTGCAAATCAAAACATAGATGCAAATCATGGATTTTCGGAGAATTTAAAGTGTGTGCGCGCGCGCGCGCGTGACAGAGAATATTAATCCAAGGATCGTGAAGTCGTCTTGGTACATTTACAGGATATTTCTTTTCACAGTCTCATTAACGCTAGGGTATTGAACGCGATCAATTTCTCTCGTCGTGAGAATCGAGTCGACGATAAGAGACCGAGACGGGTAGGGGGATGTTTCCGGTGATGCAGGGATCGACTGACTGGGATTTCGAAATTTAGTCGAGAGGAACGCGGCGGTGTCCCCAAATATCGAATCACGCGAACGCGGAAACGCGTAATACGATTGATCTTGTCGAAGAAACGACGATTGTCTACGGGATGAAACGCCGACTGTACGTTTCGCGGGATCCATACACTTGATCGCACATGTGCCTATGTGATATGCTTTTGTGTCGTCTATCTCCGCACTTCCTCTCTCCCTTCCCTCCCCCCCCCTCTCTTCGCCATCCCTTCCCTTTCCTCTCAGGCACAACAAATATACGCATATATCCGTGACGTTTAGAGAGACACGTTCTCTCAAATGTACGCCCTAATATGACCCCGCGTGTGTTTCGCACGTGTAGGCAACGAACAGCCGTTGAGAGACTCTGTCCCTTTCCATTGGTATTATGATACGTATGATATAATCTTGAATATATAGGGGAGAGCACGGAGGAGCTCAGTGAGGATTGGTCCCGGTGATATTCAGGGTGCGCAAAGTGATACAGATCCGCGCAATCTCACCGCACCTAAAAGCGGCCGTTCTAAGAGGAGGGAAGTCTTATTCGGGAAGATCCTCCCGCGCGTCGATGAAGATTCTTCACATTTTCACCGTTCATCCGGCCGTTCGTCATCGATAATGCGAAACATGGCGGCGCGATTCTCTCCCCGAATCCCCTCCCTTCCGTCGAATGTCTAATTTATAAAGTTCAATGTGACAAGATAAGGGGAGGGGGAGGAATCGAAAAGCGCCAGTTTGTGCGCCGGATAAGCGGTGAGAATCGAGTGAAAATGCACGCTGAATGTGCGATGAAAATGACAGTCGTACGCGCTTATATGGGTGTGAAAAATGTACGACGGGCAGATATATCTAACGATAACCTCGCTATAAAACACGTGCTGCAATGCGGGGATGCAATCTCCACTGTCGTTTATTCGTTCTATCCGTTTACACGAGTCTCGTGGAGGGGAAGGAAACGTCGCTAACGATGGAAATAATACAGAATTGCGCGGTAGATATAGACGATGCCTGCGGAAGATAGGGACGCGGGGCTCTCTTGATGAGTAATCGATTTCCCTTTTTTTTTTTTTCTTCTTCAATCGAGGAAACGCGCATAGACCGTAGCGATGATATCGACAATGCAAACGTATAATGTCGACGTAATGAAGTTTACGTCCCCGGGGTTTCTACCGTATCCCTCTCGCCGCGAGTGTGTATTATCTCAGAGATCTCTCATCCTCTATCTTAAATTTAGAAGCCACGCGGATGGCGCGCGATGTTCACTTGAATCACAAACATGATGGTCTGGTGGACGGTATAAGACACTCGGCTGCACTCTCTCGCAGGATATTTCCGTTTGCCGGTTAATCGCCAATTACTCGGAAATCAAAGGCAGCATTTTGAAAAGTAAGGAACGCACAGGAACGCTGATGACACATCCTCTCTAGAATAAAATATCCGTAACTATAATATTCGATAAATATTCGAAATTACTTGGCGCGATTCAGCTAAGAGACAGTAGGAAAGAAAGATTGCGATTATTTTCGTAGTAAATATATTCGAAGAGAAAGTGTAGGAGGGAAGAATAAATTATAAAAGTATAAAGTATTCTCGTTTAGGCGCGGAAATTATAGATATATATATATATATATATATATATATATATATATCGCGTGACGCATTTATACATTATATCGATTATAAAAGAAAAATCTAGACGAAATTTTTGTCAAAAAGATTTCAACAATATAAGCCAATATATATTATAATGCCAATATACATCGATTGGTTTACCCGCTAGCGCAATAAAATTGCTTGCGTTATGTCTTTTATGAATATTAAAAAATTCAAATTATGAAGCGAAGGAGGGAGGAAAGTTTTCTATACGAGTTTTCCTTGACTTTCTCTCTTTTTTTCTCTTTCTCTCTACGCACAATTTGCCTATTTGGATCGACAAATGACTCGTGCTACGATCTCGTCGAGAGACTCTCTCGCATTCGCCATCAGCTTCCTTTTTTTCTTCCGTCCCGACGGCGGTGTATTTAATATTATTTGGCATCTATAGAATTAACGGGGAAGAGGTACGTGAAGCGCAAACTGCCGAGCTGCCTTTCCGGTGATTCCTCCTCTCTTGTCCGGACAGAGAGTCGTTTTCTCCTCCTCTCGATTAATTCTACACGTTCCAGATAAATAATAGACGTACGCTCTTTGCGGTCTGATGACACAGCCGCCGCAGGACTTTTACCGTCTTTTCGTTTTCCGGTCGGATCTCAGCCGCCACGCTCGCCACGGCAGTGTTTATTTTGCCTAGCCGTTTTGTTTGTAAAATGTGGGCAACAAGGAGCTGCAATGCTTCCGCAATGCTTCCGCAATGCAGCGAGGTATTAAATTAATTTCCCTACCCCCTTCCCGCTCTTTCTCTCTCTCTCTCTTTCTCTTTCCAAAGCGCATTCCTGAATGATGAAATTTTTACGGATCGTACAGGACAATCTTTGATTAGGGGGTGTACACGCCACGTCGTTCGCTCCGAATTAATTCCGACCAGTGAGTGATAGCCGTCTGTCTCTGTGAGCGCGCTACGACCGCAAAATGGTTAATCCAAACCTCCGGCTCTCTTGGTCCCGTTGGTTCGTAGGTTACAATTCCTCCGGTCTTCCTCTGCAACCCACCATACGAGGAAAAAAAGAAAAAGAGACACTAGAGATTGGTCGGTCGGCTTGGTAGACGCTTACACAGTAAAAAATTGTACGTTCATATATGTTAAAATTTTCTTGCGTTACCACGTTTTTGATTAGTACTTTAATGTAAAATTAACATACAACCTATATGTTATTATTTTTATAACGCTTTCATGTGTTACATTTATGTCAATTTCATAACTTAACACTTTGTACGTATCTCTTAGAAATATTATTTTGAATATTTTTAACATAATCATTTTAAGCAATCAACATGTCCCAAAGTCAATTTAACATTCTAAGAAAAGTTAAAGTGAATCTTCAAATAATCTTGAACTTTGACACACAAAAATAATCAAATTTATTAAAATCAAATGTTTCTATTACAAATAATTTAAGTTAAAATAATTCCTATTATATGTTAATATCCTCAATATTTCTTATGAGTTATCGTAACTATTTTTTCATGTAATTTTTAATTAATTTGTATATCATTTTTACATTACACTTAACTCACGATAACAAAAATAAATGCAAAGTATTGTGTCAATTATTTAACATTTTTATTCATCATTTTGTCAATAAGAAACATACGACGAATGAGTTATTTTAACTTAAAATTTAGAGTGAACTTTCTGAGACATGTGAAAATGTTAAAATTAACATTTTATTTTTTACTGTGTAAGATCCGCACGAAAATCGCGAACTCTAACATTTGTCAACCTTCGACATATTTTTCTTTTTGGAACTCAAATAAATGGCACCGAATAAACGCGCCATTAATTTTTTTAGGCGTATGTCGTGTATCGAAAGATGAAGAGAAACGTGAAAACTAAGTAACACGATTTAAAAAGGTAAACTAGGTACGAGGATTTGAATTTCACGTTTCGTTTCGCAGCCCTGCTTACATTATACATATTTAATAATTATGTGTCAAACATATATATTTATAAGCTTACTTTGCTCCAACTTCATTTCTCGCGCACGACATAAGCGTTAACACGCGAAATTTGAATTTGTAAAGAATATACGAGAGATTACTTAGATATAGAAAATGGAAACGCGTATGTAAGCCATTGTATAATCAGGATTTCGCAAAATTGCGATTTACATTAAGCTTTCACGATCGATCGTTTCTCCATTTCACCTCGCGCTCTTCGTAATCCCGTCTATTAACGTGCGCGAAACAATTGGCATAAATTTCAATATGGTTAATGGAGATATCAACCTTGCGCGCTCAAACAACTTTTAGATAAGTCTCCTGAAAAGTCCAAATAAAATGCATCGCGTGATGATGTGTGGTCTCTCGTGAATAAGGATAAGGTACAAAAAGCACGCAGCACAAACGGACGCGATAATCTACAGTCGACATACAAAAAAAAATCTATATCCCGAATTCGGTTGGATTTGGTCTCTGTATCGGTCTGATCTCTATCAAATTGCCAAATTAGGCAGAATTGTGCGATGTGAAATGACCAGAATTGAAACTCTGTATCAGATTACAGCGCGAGTCGGTGCCAATTACAAGGTATCTTGATCCTTCATACAATTCTCGTCGCATAACACGTGGAAGATTAACAAAAGGATAAAGGAGAGCTCGCGAGATTCGCGCGAGATGCAAATATATATATTTTTTTTCCTTTCAATCGAGCGCGTTCGAGTTACCTGTTTTCGTGGCGAACGGATCCTTGGGATGATTCGTCTTAATGGCGTTCATTCGGCGATTCTGCGGTCCTTGGCCACCGCCGGGACACCCGACGCCAGGCGTCTGACCCATGCCGTGGGGCCCAGTGGCGACCGCGCCCCCGGCGGACTGCAGGTGCGACAATTGCTGGGCGCAGCCGGGGGGCCCGACGGTCCCGGGTCCGCCGGGCACACCTGGCGGCGCGCCTGCCCTCACACGTGGCTGCTCGACGGGCAATACGCGGCGTCTCTTCTTGGGTAACTTGGCTCGCGCCTGCGTGTGACTGTAATACATCGCAAAATTGCTAACGATCACGGGCACCGGCAGGGCGATCGTGAGGACACCGGCCAGCGCGCAGAGCGCGCCGACGAACATCCCGATGTAGGTTTTCGGCACCATGTCCCCGTAACCGACGGTCGTCATCGTCACCAGAGCCCACCACAGACCGAGCGGTATGCTCTTGAAGTCGTTCTTGGGGTTGAACTGGGTGCGCTCCGCGTAATACACGAGACTGGCGAAGATGACGATGCCGAGAACGAGGAAAAACACCAGAAGCGTGAGCTCCTTGGCCGAGGCGCGAAAGGTCTGTATCAGGATCTTGAGGCCCGACGAGTGACGCGTAAGCTTGAACAGCCTCATTATCCGTATGATGCTCAAAAATTCGAGGATGTCGGCGTTCTCCAGATGGGCCGCGAATCGCTGCAGCGCGAGGTCGACGTAGAAGCTCAGGGTAGCTACCATGTCGATCAGATTCACCGAGCTCTTGATGAAGTCGCAGCGATTCGGGCTCGCGGTGATGCGTACCAAGAACTCGAAGGTGAACCAGGCGTTACAGATGCATTCGATGTAGAAGAAGACATCGTGGGCGTTGGTGCGGGTCTTGTCCACCACCCAGGACGTTACGTTGTTAGTCTTTACCGAACGGTTCACGATCATCGGCACTCGCATGTCCGGATGGGTCTTGAGGCAAAAGGAGAGTATCGAAACGCAAATGAAGAAAACGGAGACTATGCTGATTATCTGAAAGATATCCAGATGTACGAGTGTACTTTTAATAATTGTGCCAATGATTTTAGCATAAAATCCACTTGAATCGTACCTTGGCTGCGACGGAGGAGTAGGGTTCATCGAATAGTGACCATATCTGAGGCTTGAGCTTCTGCCACCACGTAAGAGTCCCCTCGTAGTACGCTTCCTCGAAGCCGAACTTCCTGGCCAGTTCCTCTTCGGTGGGTTTCTCGGTGTCAAGGTCCAATCTGTCGAGGACCGTCAACGTTTCCTGCGTGTCCCGGTGCTGCAAGGGGGCGAAGGCGTCGGAGGCGAAGAGATTGGGGGAAGAGAGAGAGATGCAACAAGGATTGTTATTCGTACCTGCGAAACTCTTTTTCGAGGGTGTTTTTTTTGCCTTTGTGGGAGATAAAGCGCGCGCGTGAGAAAAGCGAACCGCGCGGTGCGTGCTTCCTTGCGTGAAAAAGAAACCTCTTTCGCTTTGATCAACCTACTGACATGACCTTTGCGATCATGTATATTTACTCTCTTGCTTTATCCGTCAAGTAATTTTCAGATTCAGATTTTCAGACACGACATAACGATTAATTAACGATTAATTTTCAGAGTTCGACACACTATTGAATCATACGTTCCATATTTCTTTTACAAAATTTATTAACATTTATTTTCAAAAACATGTATCAGAAAAACATAGATTTCTTTAAGAGCGATTCTTTCATTAAAAATATCTACCTTTATTTATTATGCTTTTTCATCTCTATTTTTTTATCGTCTTGGATATCATGATCTTGTTTAGCCTGAAAGAGAATTAATTTAAATAAAACGCGTCATGTAAAATTAATTACACATCTTTCACTGACAAGTAGATTCTAGCTAGAGTATCAAAATTGATTGCCATTAAAAAAAAGACATTAATAATTAAGAGCACTTGAGTGAAAAGACGCTGTGCATTAAAGTCGTGAAGAAATTTGTGAGCGTGATTCGTGATAAAAGATACGGTACTTTTTGAAGATGGAATGAATCAGCGAGAAACTTTTCCAGCGTGTCGGACAAATGATTCTGAATCAAGACTTATATATATATATACTACAAATCTGTACTCGTTATCGTAGTCTGCTTGATTCGCTAAAAAAATTTATCTAGCAGAATATATATCGTACTGCATATATTCTATTTTTCATATATATATACATATAACATCTTATTTATCATATAATAAATTATATAATAAATTTGTGTGATATTATATTTATATTATATAATATAAAAATATAATATACACCTATTTTTCACTCTGAGACCTCGAATGCGGCCTTTGGTGCACGCTTAGGCGTGATTAGGCGTGATTAGGCACGGATATTTGACTGAAACATTGCTCACGATATACCTGCGTGTAGGTCATCCAACAGCAAGGCTCGACCTGATTGGAGTCGAGTCCCCAGAAATCGAGCTCTTCCTCGAAGAGCGGGCCGCAGACGTCCGTGGGATAGTGCAGCTTCCCGGTGCGATAGTAGTTGAGTACCTGGGCGAAGACGCCCGGGTGCCTGTCGAAGAAGTACTCGTTGAGGATCGGATCGTAGTTGGCGAGGGCCTCGGTCAACCGCGAGAGCCTCGTCGCCGGGATCTTCTTCAGGGTCGCCTTGTACGTCTCGTGCCGGATACCGCCCACGTTCAGAACCACGCGGTTCTCCGCGTCCATATTTATCAAGTTCATTTTGATCACGGCTCTGCTACCGCCGGCCCCGACTCAAAGAAACCCATGTGATCTGCGAACAATTAGTAATTGCCATCGCGTCATCCGAAATTAAATCTATTTCTCATCTGATTAAACTTTCTGGAATTAAATTTCTCGATTTTAGTTATGTCTTTTTAAAGAGTGAGAAATGATTATTAATTTATCGATTTCAATTTAAATCTTGTTTAAGACGCGCGTAAATTTTTTTTATATCAAAAATAATTATAATTCTTTTTATAGTTTGAGAAATGTCCAGGAGCTTTACTAATCGGACGATTCGTTGCATTCGATTAAAACACGAGAGTTTTTTGTCAGAATTTACGCAATGATTTCTAATTGTGCAAGATTGAAATCGCGTAAGCTGCATATAATCTTATTCTCCGTTGCATTAAATCACACATCCATGATCCTGAAAGGATCAAGCGAGGAGCGTGCAAAATGATTTTATCGTAATATATTGTCCTGACGTTGCTTTGACGTCGCTATAATATCATTTGGATTACGTAGCGTAACTCGGATGAGGAATATGCCATAATGGTGTCGTTGCCGCTTCAAGTTCTGCCCGTTTCAAAGACCATTTCAATTGGCCGCGTCGACCGGAACACGAACCCTGCTCCATTTAACATTACGATGATTGTGACGTTTGACATTTAATCAAAAGCCGCTTGTACATTTAATCAAAAGTACGTCTTACAAATAACCAGCGTCCGAAATTGTCTCGGTTCTTTTAATCCCGGATGTATATGTGTGTCTTTGTCTCTCTACGAGAATCGCATTCATTCAAGTTTCATTTCACTCTCTGACGTAATGAACAAAGAAATAAATACAATTATTTTGCGGAGGAAAAAGTTGATATCAGAATTCGAATGTTGAGGCTGCCGCGGAAAGAGGATTATGATTAAAATATGTGCGATATAATTATAGAGAATTAAATTGGATTAAATGATTATAAAGGATTTAAAACTATTAAATATATCACCATTAAAATTACCGAAAAAATATTTATTACAACTGCGTACGCGCGATTATCCCACTCGTGACATCTTTTACGCCTACATGTCGTGAATATAAATAAATCGGATTTTGCCAATTATTTTTTTTTGTCGTTGAGTTATTTATACGTAAACTTCCCTTGTATGGAAAATTGCTTTCTAAGTAACCTTTACTTGGTCATGTAACATCAATGCATGTGTGTCAAATTATATACGCATACCTAATATACCGATAATTCCCGCCCGATATATATAACAGAAGGTCCTCAAACATGGCATTTCAGTCCTGAATCCGAAACTGAAAGGGAATAAGCATGCGATTACGATCTGCATTATTTTAAAGTACCAAGGAATAACGCCACTCAATTAATGATAACTGGAAACCGAACAAAAGTTTCTAAATTCATGCCTCGAATGAAATGAAAATTTCGCAAGTGCTAGAAAAAGAGAAATAAGTAACATGTCCCTGGAAAAAGCGAATTATATTGAAAAAGATATCAAAGATTTCACGTCCCTCTCTCTGTATCGTTTTTCACTTAAATTGAGCGATGCAGATTTCACTCGAAATAGTCGAGTTTATTAAAAAAACGAATCCACGGGAGGGGACGTATTTGCGTACAACATTTACGGTTTATTCTGTGATCTTTTACCGCGTAAAAGTGGAGTCGAATAAAAAAAGAAAAAAAAAAGGAGAAAGGTGTCGCGTGAATCAAAGGGGGACAGGTGGTATCGGTTTTTCAATCCCGCGTCGCTTTGTAATGTCCGACGTGCACGTACACGCGGTGTATACGTGTGCGAACGAAGTTATACGAGTTACAAAAGCGAACGCGATACGGCTCGCGCGATTGTTTCCTGCGTGAACGAGGAGTTTTGCCCCGATTATCAAATCAGATTCCGCTCGCGGGACTCCTCGGGGGGGGGGGGGGGGGGGAAGAAAATCTGGAGGGACGGAGACACGCGTAGAGAAAATCACGCCATTCGGATGCCGAATGGCGTGCGTTATCAGGCGGGACGCACCCTGTACGAGGTCGACGTGCCGGAGTCCTCGAATTAGCGCGATTCTAAATCAACCCTGATCGCCAACCGCCAACCCCGGCGGCGGCGGCGGCGGCGGGAAACGTCTGGCATCGATAAAATCCGATCGAATCTTCGGAGGCCGGTGCGCATTCCCGATGACGTCATACCGTACATACCATGTATTTTCGCACGTGCACGAGCGGCGGCGTTTCTCAGACGAGGGGGATGATCGACCGGAGCGGGAGCGGGGGCGGGGGGGGGCAGGGGAAGGGAACGATCTCAGCGGGAGCGTCTTCATTATCGCGTACGTCGCGAGAATCCTGGACTGACGAGGCACCTTTTCGCGCGACCGAGTCTACAAATTAACGTCGGAAACGACGACGACGGTGGCGGTGACGGCCGTCAGGCGGCGACCAACCCCTTGTCGCGCGAGAATCGATAGTCTGCGTGCACGAGAGCGCCGATAAAGCGCCCCGTCCCGTTTATTTCGCCTCCGCGAATGTTCATTCTCTTGGCGAACGTGGTTGACAAATCGCTCGCGAGAATCAGAACCCGACGAGGGGGGTGCCAGGGTGCGAGCTCGAGCGAACGAGGGAGGGCGCGTTAAAAGCGAGACGGACGATCCGAGAAATCAATGGGCGTTAGACTGAACGAGCGTGTTGGAATACTAGAGTAGGTCGAACGCGAATCGACTGGTCTCGCGACCAGCGAAGCCGAGGAACCGAATAGTAACGTGGACAAACGTCCGCCGGAGATGATCCTCGAGAGATAATCCTCGAGCTGGAGATAATTTTATTACAACCGGAGAGAGATAATTGAAAGAGACGAAACCTTTCAACGCTTGCTAATCGCGCGATACACTCGTTGACGAGGGTGCGTGTTCGAATATATAATACTCTCCCAGGATATTCCGAAGGAAGGCCCTCGTGATTGACACGTTTCCACTCGAGCGCGCAAACATCCGACCCTCTCCCTTCGCGTACAAAACCCTCGTGCACGCTTCTCGGATACCCACCCTCGGTCGCGCTCTCTTCATGTCTCGGAGATCTTCCGCGACATGTCGACGGCACTGCTCCGGTTCTCCACGTTCTCCATGTCGTCGCGATGTGACGATGGCGCTCCGCGACGATTGGCACACCGGGTGATCTCGCACAATGAATTGTAGGCACTATGTCGTGTTCGTTTCGTCCCTGGATTCGCGCGAGCCAGTTCCCTCGTTCTTCTCTCTCTCTCTCTCTCTCTCTCTCTATCTCTCTCTCTTCCGTCTCCGGCAGAAGGTCAGGTCAGGCAGGGAGAACGCACCGCGGTCGCAGAGGGCGTTTTCCCCGTCGCCGTGCTCGCGAATGGACGATCATCGGCGGCGGTCAGGCCTTCATCGCGGCGCTATCCGGCAACACCAGCACGGATGACTCATTGTCATCGTCGCCGGTTCGCGTCGTCGTCCCCGTGACCGACCGACAGCGGTTAAGACGAGGGGGCACCGACGGGTGACTCGATTGCGGCGCGTACGGAACTGATCTGGTGAGAGGAACAACGACGGTGGCGGCGGCGGCGGCGGCGGTGGCGGCGGCGTCGTCGTCGTCGGCGTCGGAGTGGGGTCGGGCGTCGCGACGGCGACGGCGTGCGGAGGGTGAGCGCGCGCGCACCCCGAGCGTCGCGACGATATCAAGTGGTTCTCGAGTTGGCGCGTTCGAAGCGACGACTCCTAGATTTGCCTCTAAAATTATATTAAGCCAGACCTTCTTCTCCGGAGCCCAGCCTTTATCGTCAAATTTTCCTGTCCAGGGAATCTATAATGAAAATATATTCGAGCTTCCTTCATCTGTTATTATTATCGTACCTTTGAAAGCGTTTATAACTCGATAATTGTGTGTGTAAGACATGATAAAAGTTGATTAATATATTGCAGACGGATAGGCAAAAAGTATGAATGTTCGACGTAATATTTTAACTCGTGGTCGTCTCGTATATTCACGTACATACATATATTCACATAAGGATGACGTTTGTCACGATTAATTTTTGTGGCTACGCAAGTTATCGTTATTGTTTTGTATGTGTCTCATTCCGAGACACTGTGAAATACAAAAGATATTTTATGATTCTTGAATTTATTGCTTGAAGTAGAGATAAACACAGAGAGAAGAAGGATCAAAAGAGAGTAAAATATAAAGAACAATGAGACAGCCATATAATTTGATTAATAAATTTAAATAATTACATATATATGAAAATTAAACGTTAGAGATTTATTTAATTTTTAATTGATTAAAAGAATATACAATTATAGAATTAAAAAATATCGCAAAAAGATCGTAAAAAAAACACATATTCGATACATCTAATAAAATATACTATATTTTTTATTTATTAAATTTGTTTCCCGACAAAAAACAGTATATATGTTTATTCTCGAAAATGGATAAAAAAAGGATATTCTATGATTTCAATTTATTTTTATATTTTATACTTTTCACGACTTTATTACGTTACAGTTGCAATCAATATATCTGATTTATAGCATATTTTATTTCTAAAACACACTTTTTTTTTTAAGCAGCGATATCAATAGTATCAATTTCGATCGACTAATCGTGTTACTTCCAATTAATATACGCAAATCTAAATAAGAAAGCTTGGATATTCAATTGATATTTCATTGCGACCGTCCATATGCGCGATATAAAAAATGTACGTCCATCCTACGCAAAATTGAAAAAAAAGTCGATACTATTGAATTACGAACATTGTAAGATTTGTGAAATTTATCATCATTCCGATCCCCCTCGTATCATTCAAAATATCGATTTATGTCTGAAATTAACTGGTCCCTCCGTTTCTTTCCAAGGCCTCATTCACGATTAAAATCATGCGATTTTAAAGCTCTCGCTTTTTAATTTCAAATTCGACAAGGCTAACTAAAGCCGACGTATTTTTTTAGGTCACGCAATCATCCTCTTTTACTGCCACTTTTTCTTCGATTCGACATATCCTACGAGATTGCGATTTTTCACTGCAAGACGATCAAAACCCGAGGGGAAAAATCCGAGTTACCCCTGTCGTTCTGCGCTTTTTATAGCTCATAAAACACCTGTCTTCGTCTCATTCTTCTTTATACTCTCCCCCTTTAATCCTTCTCTCTTCTCTCATCTCTCTACTTTAGACCTTGGCCATATAAATGAGTGAAAGAGGGGTGTCTCTCGACGAGAAACACAATAATCGATTTTCCCTTCGATTGGTGTTAAAAATGATTATATATCAATCACAGAGATCCTGTTGACTTGCAAAAATGCAATGCTCATTTCTCATCCTTTTACAACACATCCTTGTACACAATCTACAAAAACCAAAAGTCATATTACAAATCTCTTCATTTTTCTTTAAAAGGAGTTTCTTTTATCACTTATATGTCATCTCATAAATCAGGTAATATCGAGAAAAATTGTGTCAAAGACGAAAAAGACGATCAAAATATTTTCTCAAACAAAGATCAACAGCACAAAATTAGTAGCTTAAAGTACATCATAGAAACCTTTTAAATTTGCTATCAAAATCGTATAGTCTTCCTATTTTTCCCGAAATAAAAATCCACTCGAATAGAAATGGTGTTCACTCTAGAAGATATAAGAGGTATCCTTTCTGATCTCTGCCGTGATCTACGTAAATCAATCGAACAGAGAGGGAGAAAGATAGATGAAACTATTGGACGGCCGAAAAAAAAATAGCAGTTTGCTTCGGAACAGGATGACAGGCGATTACTCGAGCCGAGTTCAATGGAAGGATTAAAAGAAAAATAGAAGCGAGCATACCTTACGAAGCATCGCGTAAACGTACGGCGTACGTTACAAAGTACATATGGGTTACAAAGTACATGTGTCCCGAGACCCGAGTGGGCCGATGCTCGAGTGGGGTCGTCGCTACTCTCAAGCGAATTTCTCCATCGGTCGATGGCTTACGCTTGCGCGCTGACGCCTCTTCAGGAACAGCCTTTGCTCCTCAGGGCTCTGTGTGTACCGAATTATACGCCGCGAGAACAACCCTGACACTTTTCCATTAGCCGCGCTTCAGAGTCGAAGAGGATTAGCGTTCGATAATCCGAAGATAATAGCGATCACCCGCGGATACTATATTTCTCGAGACGTCGCGTCATCCTCCTTTGTTTGCCTCGAACTTGGCGTTGAGGGAGGCTTATGCGAGCCTGTTTGCTAAAATTTTCTCGGAATTAAAAGGATTAAATTGACTTGCAGATTGGATGAATATTGAAAATAATATTGAAAGAATGATTATTATTTTAACACTTTTCTCTTGATTTATTATTTTTCTTAAATTACATTTTTTATTATATAAATATTACATCCGACGTATTAAAAAAATAATATATAAATATATAAATATAATTATATAAATATTACATCCGACGTGTTAAAAAAATAATATTACAACACAAAGTTATTGCAACGAGATATAGTCGAATATAAGATATTATTCTTTATCGACATCTTAATGCTTATTTTCTGACATTATCGTAAAAGTATCAAAAGCAACTGTACAAGCAGACGCAAGTGGCATTTTGTTCTCAAACTTCTGTCGAAGGCACATTTGTTGATTGATCATATCGTTTCCACTTGGGCTGAAATTTCTATTCGATGCGACTGAAGTATTCGTGTTCTCCGATTTCGTAATTGCCTTCGTATTTCCGGCATATTAATCGATATGCATGTTCTCGGCTATAATATACAGCGATTACAATTATATGAAAATATGAGAAAAAGACAATTATAAATCAAAATTGTAAATTATAATTCATAAAATAATATAGAGCAATTGTAAAAAATATATAATATATATGTGTATCATGGATCAATACAATTGCAATTGTTCCTAATCTTCTAATCGTCAACATACTGTTTCTAATCCATTGACGCTTGATCGAGACGTTAAACTCGCTAGTGATTTGGAAGTTGAGCTCGTCAAAAGGTGATCCTCGATGTCAGTGTAACTTTGACACGACGGCCTCGTTCGTCTCGGAGTAACAGGTAGAACTCTCCTTCTCTGTTTCGGTAACTTGCCACGTGCCTGAAAGTTTACATTTAATTTCTTTCGACATTTCTATTTAAAATCTTAAACTCAAACTCAATTGAATAGCCGTATCACGAGATTGCGAGATTTATAATGTAAAGGAATCGATCGAAACGAAGCTTGCTACAGCGCGAACGTTACCTGCGTATGCGAGTAGAACATGGAAAAATTACTGACAATGACCGGAACCGGAAGAGCGATAGTAAGAACACCCGCGAGGGTGCACAATCCGCCGATGAACATCCCGGGGAAAGTTTTCGGTGTCATATCGCCATAGCCCACGGTGGTCATGGTGACCAAGGCCCACCACAAGCCTCGCGGTACGCTGTCAAAATCGTTGTTGGGATTTTCCTGAAAAGCATTAGAATCCTGCTTTTTTAAATTATTAAACTCGATCTCTGTTTCTCTGAAATACTCCAAGATGTGTCTGTTCTCAAAACATTAATCAGTCTGGTGAGAAATCACAGGTTTCTTTAAACTCCATTTTATATTTCTGCAACCAAAGTTGCATGCCTGCGCGCAAAAAAAGGTCAATATCAAATCAGATTCCATATTATTTTTTTAAATCGCGAATTGCGCTTTCAGGTAATTCTCGTAAAAGTCTCCTACTAGAACCGTACTCAAAACTCTGCTCTTATGAAACATTTACTTCTCCATCCTCGTGAAGCTAGAACCCACGAATGTACCTGCAGGCGTTCGGCATAGAATATGAGACTGGCAAAGAGCACGATTCCCAGCACAAGAAAGAAGACTAGTAGAGTCAGCTCTCTGGCGGACGCTTTAAAGGTGTGGATAAGTATTCTAAGTCCAGGCGAGTGCCTCGTCAACTTGAACAGTCGTAAAACACGCGCTATCGACAGGAGTTCCAGGTAGAGGTTCGGCTCCGCCAGGAACTCGGTGTAGAAGCTCATCGTCGCCACTAGATCGATCGCGTTGACCGGCGACACCGCGAAATGCCTCAGGCTGGGACTCACCTGCAATTAAGTTACAGTAACATCATCCTGCGTTCGTCACGTTACCTATCATCGTGAACGGAGATAATTTCGGTTTATCGATTAGGAATAGTTGACATTACATCAACAGCAGGCTGTTTTGGTACAAGATGAAGCCTGAACACTTAACGAAATGTATCTAATAGACGATTTTTTTTAAAGAAAATACACAATAAGATCGTACGAGGCAGCGAAGCGCGATTTCTACGGTGAACCAAGCGTTGCAAGCGTGTTCCAGGTAAAAAAATGCTCGATAGGAATCAGCGGCGATATTGTTCCAATGATCCTTTAGTAGATCTTCTTGTTCTTGATTATTCTTTGGCACGTGGCTCTTCAAGCAAAAACATAGAACCGACAGACAGGTGAAAAATATGGACGCGCAGGCTACGCACTTGGCTATCGATGACGAGTATGGCTCGTCGAAAAGGATCCAAACGCGAGAACGTAATCTCTGCCATTTGGTTAAGGTGTCCTCGTGATACTTTTCCTCCAAACCGAAAGCTCGCGCGATTTTTTCGTCGCCGAGCTTCTCGCCCTCGATATCGAGCTTATCGAGGATTGCCAAGGTAGCTTGCGTGTCTCGATGAATGCTATATGTGCTCCAGCAGCACGGTTCTACCTACAGAAAGTCAACTTAATTAAGGAACTGTTAAATTACTTCGCGAGAGCGATGTAATCGATTTATGCGAATCAGTTATGCCAAGTCGTATAAAGCACGAACTTAAAAACACGATGTGAAACAAAAAGTATTTTGTTTAAAGAATTTCTTTAATTCGATATTTAATAGCAAATGTCTAAGAAACAATGGTCTTTTCTTATCATCTTGCTTCATTTCTCGAATTGTTTAAATGTGAAAGAAAGATACAAGTTTTATTTAAAAATTTTCTTAAAAAAATGTCGATAATTCAATCTTCATTATTTTCTTTTCGCCGAACTTTTCAATTTCTTTGAGAAACTGATGATAATGACTTTTATTATTTTAACAAAAAACGTAGGAAAAATTTATATTAAAATACAAATTTTAATTTGTTGCTTGCGTTATAAATTGCAAACGATTGCATACATTTTAAATAATTAACACATAAAAAAATTGCATTTTTGAGATATTCTGCTAATGATTTAAAATATTTGCACCAAAGATACCTGGTTCGAATCGAGACCCCAAAACTCCAATTCCTCCTCGAAAAGCGGACCACACACGTCCGTGGGATAGTGCAGTTTCCCCGTGCGATAATAATTGAGCACCTGTGCGAAAACATCCGGATGCCTGTCGTAAAAGTATTCATTCAGTACCGGATCGTAATTCACTAACGCCTCCGTCAGTCGCGATAATCTGGTCGCCGGGATTTTCTTTAACGTCGCTTTATACGTTTCGTGTCGAACGCCACCCACATTCAATGTCACCCTATCGTTCCATTTACCGTCCTTCATTCTTGTCGACCCTTTTTTTCTCGTAAAACATATACAGAAATGAAGAATATATTCGTTACATAAAAAAAATTTTAAGCGACTCTTAGAAGTACATGGAATATCGATCCTCTTTCTTTCTCTCTCTCTCTCTCTCTCACTTTTTCTGTCAATAAATAGCTAGATAATTGATAGAAAATTTATTTTTCCTTTTTTTTTAAATTGGGTAAATTTTTTTTATAAAGTGTGAATAAATATTTTTGCGCAAGTAATTTTTTATAAAGGAAGAGAATATCTCACGCACTTTGCCGAGTTTGCTTGATGACTATTCGACAGCGCGCGAAACCACGAGGCTTCAGTGAAAAGGAATAACCTGCGCCGCACATATTCTGGTTGGTCCGTTCTATAAATTCGCTCGTGTTTATTTGCGTGGCACGCCGCACACATCCAAAACGCCATTTGTTCAGTTAGAGTGCAAAGTCACGCGATAGACGGGCGGTTTATTGCTTCGTTGAAATTCTGTAAAAAATGAGAAAAAAGAATGGTGCAAGTCTCCATCGTTCTTTTTGCGCGATTAAGACGTATACATGTAATGATTCGTTAAGCGCGTTGAACAAAACTTTTGTAGCTATTGATGAGATATATATTTTCACGATAAATGTCAATTAGATGTATTATGTTTATATAAAAAATTTGTGTTGCATGTCGATCCATTTTACATAAAATAATTCGTAGAAAAAAGGAAACACATAAAATATTTCAGGAACATTTTAAAGTTTTAGATATTTTTCCAGATGGTATTGAATGATAGAACGTATGACACACGAAAACATAATATCATAACATTATTTACGTTTCCGAAATATTTCTGACGAATTACGAGCAATGATATAATCAACCATTAGGTGATTCAAAGTGACATACGTTTTGTTTGTTGGAAAAGATTCATCATGTATCTTTTTGAAATTAATAATCTTATGTAAAAGTAAAATTAATTATCTTAATAATCTTATCTCTATCTTACATGATATAATTTGAACAATGATAATCACCATCTTTAAAAGTTTATTAAATTAGTATAATATTTATATATCTCATAATATATATATAATAACAGTTTAAGAAAATTCAAGAAAATTTTTTTTTTTAATTTGTGCATGTAATTGTATAATTATAAACTATGTTAGATATAATTTATAATAATAATTAAAATATATTATAATTTATAATTGTTATATTATATACTTTTTATTTATTATTATTTATTATTTTATTATTATATATTCTTATTATTATATATTTTTTTTGCTAATATTTTTATGCAATTGACAAATCATTTTTCTAATTTTATATTGATTTAAAATACAATTTGAGGATCACAAATATTTATATACTGTTTAAATTATAACTTAACTTTCAAAAACTTTTATTTTAATAAATAACATATAATCATTGAATTAAAAAGTATGTTAATATCCCGTTATAATAGAGTTTCGTCGATATTTGTGAGATCTGCTTCGATATTATACTCAGAGAGATACACATTTGTCATTCCTGCGACCTCTCTGCATCAGCTGAAGAACTACGAAGAATACAGGATGCTTCAAAAACATTTACATAATCAATTTATAGGTATAAATGTATAAAAACAAAACATAAAATGAAAAAATACATAACAATTATTCGTGATGTGACAAATTTTAACAAATTTAACAAATTTTCGAGTCATAAAATTAATATAGAAAGCAGTGCTATTGAATTGTATAAACTTTGTGTAAAATTTATCGCACTAAAGTGAATAATGTTACGTGAAAAACAATACAATGTTCAAATATGTACATGTGTTTATTGTAGAGGAACGAAAAAAATACAAATTTTATTTTAATTTAACAAAAAGAAACTTCAAAAACGTCAGTTTCGACGAGAGAAAAGCTAATGGAAATGAAATTCGACTATTTCTTAATTAAGAGATATTCCGTGTCGCGACAAAAATACTTTAGCCTCGCGCGCGTCGCTCGAACTTTACAGGGTAGTTCGACTCCCGGAACAAAGAGGGTGACGGCGAGACGACACGCAGGAGCTCCATCTGGTCCCGACGTGGCCGGACACTCTCTCTCTCTTTCCCTCCTTGTCTCCCTTCATGCTCCGTAGGCGTATTTCCGCGCGCATGCACATTTACCGCGAAACGTGGGCGTCGTAGCTTTAAGGACGGCATCCGTCTGTGACGTCATATTTGTTTCATTTTCCGTCGTGCCAACATGCGTCCGGCTTGTCTTTTCAATATTGCAACTGTGTCATCTCGTTTATCTCGTTCCCTCTATCCTTACCGTGCCGCCAGCCCCCTCGCCCATCCCCCTCTTCATCCACCCTCCCTTCTCTCTTCCTCTTTCTCTCTCTCCTTCTCATTCTCTCACGCGCCACGAGACGTGCCAGTTATACCAGTATGTTTAACATGTTTTTTATCTTCCCTCTCAGCTAATGCCATTGTCCCGTAAACGCACACGTGCTCGCAACGGAACAATTCTCTCGTTTATTTCCTGATTTATCTTCGATTCCACGACAATCTTATTACACAGTGATCCAGCTGTAATTATTTGACGCCAAGGACGTTAACCGGGGGGACATTTCTCTAGCGATTGTAGATATATTTTAGGTGATTAGGGGATCTAAATGAAGGGTAGCATAAAATATGGCATGAAAGAGGGGAAAAGCAAGAATAAATATATAATTGTAGATATTCTACACGATTGATCGGATTATGTCGAGAATTCTGTACTAATGTACAGAACGTATGACGAGAAGAATGATTATTTAACGCCAAGGACGTTAACCGGGGGACATTTCCCTAGCGATTGTAGATATATTTTAGGTGATTAGGGGATCTAAATAAAGGGTAGCATAAAATATGGCATGAAAGAGGGGAAGAGCAAGAATAAATATATAATTGTAGATATTCTACACGATTGATCGGATTATATCGAGAATTCTGTATTAATATCGTATGACGAGAAGAATGCTTCTTACCCCTCGAAGCGATCTATCGGTTACCAAAAGAACCAAGATTTCTTCCCCTGAAATTTCTCAGTAAAAACAACCGCGATCGTGTCGCCAATTAATTAATAGAATGAAAGTTTACCGCGCGACTCGCAAATAATCCGGGAGAAGACATTCACGACGCGTGTTCCCATCCCCATCAACATTATAAAACGCGGATAAATATCACGGTATTAATACGCAAGGAGGATTTACCGCGTTCATAAAGAGAACGTTACACGCGCTCGGGGACGTTACAAATACTCCCACCGATCGCTACCTCGTCATCATCATCATCATCATCATCATCATCATCATCGTCATCCCTCTTTTCTCTTCCGCAACATCTGCCACACGATTTCCGCTCCCTCCCCTCCCCTCGTCTCAATTTCTCCCACGCTTCCGCTCCCTCCATTCATCCCCCTCTATCCCGCAGCCTGCGTCTCTCCCGTGCCCACCCCTATCCCCTATCCCTTTCGCTCGCGCACCCTCTCTCAGTCGCTTCTCTCCGACTCGCCGAGAGAAGGGCTCGTCATCCCTCGCGAGGACCACCGAGACGCGTCGCTCCGGTCGCGTTCGCGTCTGCCAACGTCGCGTCGCGGTAGACCGTCGTCATCGTCGCCGTCGCGCTCGCCGTCGTCGTATCAATCGCCTGGGGTCCGTGAGGACGACAGTTTATCGCGGGCAGATCCGTGTGTCTCGCGAGTGCCGCGCGAGAGGGACACCACCATCGGGTGGCGAGAGGGACGCACCATGAACGTCCCGCGGCCGCGGGACTCGCCGACGAGATAGTCTACGTCGACGAGGAGGCTGGCTGGCTGGCTCGCGGCTCACCCTCACGGTCGTGCCTCATCGCATCCCCGAGAGCCGGGAGACACTTCTCTCGCTCGAGAGGGATAAAGCGGGTGTAGATCGATAGGCCAGCTGGTGCGCGTGTTCGCAGAGTTTTCGCGACCGGTCGCTCGGGGTGCTCGGGGTGCGGCCCAGGATGGTGAAGGCACCGAGCATGGGACCCGCCGGCGGCCCGGCGGGCATCAGGCGGATTCATCCCGGTCCCGAGATAGCCATGAATCCGAGAAATCTGCCCACGGCATCCGCGAGCATGCCGCCCGCTATGCGAGGGGATGCCAACGCCGTCGACAGAACGACGCCCCAGGTTTATCATCCCCAGGTACGGATCCTCGATCTTCTCGATGATGGACGTGTTTACGTCGGGAAGAGGGAGGGAGGGAGGGAGAGAGATGTAGGTGCACGTCCGATCGCGCTGAAGTCGGTTGAGTTATGTGAATGGCGCTTTTTTTTTTTTTTTTAGTAGAAATGCATAATGATAGAGGATAAATGAAAAATAGATGGACCTAATTAATATGCATTATAGTCACAATTTTGTTGGTATTTAATTATTTATTTGTAATTAATTTGCTAATTAATTTATAATTCATTTCGCGAGATTATCTTTCTGCAAAGATGATTAGAAATTTTATTCGTTGTATAATGTATGCAGAATATTCTGTAATGTAACCTGATTATGTTGATTTAAAAAATAATACTTTAATACCATTATTACACACGAGTCACGTTAAATGAGATAATGTAAAGCCTTTATGCTTTACGCACCTTCATGTATTACAGATACATTTATGTCTTAGAAAGCTACAGCTATTGAAGTTTATTAATCACTTCTGCGCGCCGCTCGAATCTTATTACCGATAATTAAATTCAATTATAATGTTTAAAGTTGATTTCATTAATGGATAAGCATATTTACTCTAACTTATATCTACCTTTTAATTTTCCATATATTATAAAAGAGCGACCTTTGAAGAAAATATCTTTATTTATATATGCAATCCGTCCTCTCTCTCCTCTATTATTAATTCCTGTATATCTTTTATATATTTATTCACGTGCGCGTAAAAACCAAAACCGCTTGCAGTTTCGCTCGCGCAACGACTTTTAATTAAAGAAATATGTTAACATTGCAAACACGGAGATGACGAGCTTCCTCTTTGGATGAAAAAGGTAATATTATTCCGATCATCCTCTCATCCTTTGAGAACGAGGACGTTGCTCGCGCTTGAAAATCCGTTTCCTGCGATCGAATGTAGGTCAGTCTCCTAGAGAGAAATGCTGTTCTCTCTCTCTCGGAGGAGGCCGCGAACGTCGGTTTATTTCCCCCGTCCTTGCCTCGTCGTCGATCTTGCCGCTTAACAACGATGAACGATCTAAACGAATCTTATTACCGGAAACTGATAATACGATAACCATTAGACGACTAGAATGGTAGGTCCATGGCGCGGATGGAAGATAGCGGAACTCCATGTTTAGCAAGGAATAATGCAAGAACGGTAATGAAGTCCGGGAAATTACAGAAGTTTAATGCAGCGTCTATTACGATTTCCGATAACGATGGCTCTCGGCACAATGAGTCGCGTATAGCGATGAAACTTCGATGAATGAAGCAGTTTACCGTATTCGATCAAAGAGCGATACGGTTTTTAAATGCCCCGCGGAAAACAATAACTTCTACGCGCGACGAGAGTTTCGTGTGTGTATTTTCATTTTATTTTTCTACAAGAGAAAGAGTCAAGTTATTTTACCACCCGTAAGTCTCGAGTGCTATTTTTAAAGAAACACTCCCAGTTTTTTTCGCGTTATATTTTTCCAAACAGAGTTTGCTATAAATTTGATATCGACAAGTAATATTTCTCTTTCAGCCGAGATTTTTTCAATATCGAGAATAATATCGATCATTAATATCTCGTATATGGTTTAAAACTTTTTTTCAATTTCAGCGTTTTTCTAATGCATAAAAAGAAGTGAAGAGAAAAATTTTATTATGTAACTGTAATTATAATCATTTAGAAATATTGAATATATATAGAGTAAAATATAGCGTTCCATATAGTGAATTTACTTTATTTATTTAGAAATTTTTTTCAACGGCTAATTCTTAATAATCCTCCCCTTTTCAATTTTGTTTCTTCGAATATATTAGCTTCTCATCGCGATACTCGAGTCGAGATTTTTCTGCCAATTTCGATCTCAATTTTCGATTTATCATTGATTTTAAAGTTTTAAGTAATCAAATCACTTTCTTTCGAAACTTAATTTTTAGCTTTATCGAAATTTGATATCGACAAATAATATCTCTCTTTCAACCGAGATTTTTTCAATATCGAAAATAATATGTCAAAAATAATATATCGATCATTAATATCTCGCATATAGTTTAAAACAATTTTTTAATCTCAGCGTTTTTCCAATGGACAAAAAGAAGTGAAGAGAAAAATTTTATTATGTAACTGTAATTATAATCATTTAGAAATATTGAATATATATAGAGTAAAATATAGCGTTCCATATAGTGAATTTACTTTATTTATTTAGAAATTTTTTTCAACAGCTAACTCTTAATAATCCTTCCCCTTTTCAATTTTGTTTCTTCGAATATATTAGCTTCTCATCGCGAGACTCGAGTCGAGAATCTTCTGCCAATTTCGATCTTAATTTTGAATTTATCATTTATTTTGATGTTTTAAATAATCAAATCACTTTCTTTCGAAACTTAATTTTTAGCTTTGTCGAAATTTGATATCGACAAGTAATATCTCTCTTTCAGCCGAAATTTTTTTTAATATTGAGAATAATATCGATCATTAATATCTCGCATACGGTTTAAAACTTCTTTTTAATCTCAGCGTTTTTCCAATGGACAAAAAGAAGTGAAGAGGAAAATTTTATTATATAATTGTAATTATAATCATTTAGAAATATTGAATATATATAGACTAAAATATAGCGTCCCATATAGAATTTACTTTATTTTTTTTTTTCAACGGCTAACTCTTAATAATCCTCTCCTTTTCAATTTTGTTTCTTCGAATATATTAGCTTCTCATCGCGATACTCGAGTCGAGAATCTTCAGCTAATTTCGATCTCAATTTTCGATTTATCATTTATCTTGATGTTTTAAGTAATCAAATCACTTTCTTTCGAAACTTAATCTTTACTTAGCTTTGTCGAAAGCTCCTCTTTCAAACTTCTAAGCGGGAAATTATTCATTTATTGTCTACTTAAAGTATAAAGTAGGATCGCCATCCTTACAAAATTAAACTATGGAAATCTTTGAGAAGATTCTATAAATGTAAATAAAAGCAAAATTTGGACTCGGGAGGAAACTTTATTAATCGCTTTCTGGAGAGTATCAAAATATCATAGTTCATCAGTAAATTACATATGAATAGTCTCGCGCAGCAATGCATTCCAAGAGTATCCCCGTTTCTCGGATCTCATAAATCATTTCGCGTATCAATCAACGTGTCAGCCCCGGACGTAATCCAGTTCCCGCGACGTACGCGAGAGTACACTTACATACGATCCTCTCGGTTCGCGACAGGTGGACGTTTCAACGCAGGTGGACCTCCACGGTGGCTACGGCGCTCCGGGCAACCTGGACTCGTGGGATCGTCGCGCGACCCCGTTGTACTCGCGCGAGGACATCAAGGAGCAATACTGCATCACCAGCCGGCAGCTGGACGCCGTCGAGAAGTCCGGCGGCGGTTTCTTCGGGTGCCTGTCGACGAGGGGCCCGTCGCCGTGCAGCTCCACCAGGAACTCCATCCTCTCGGCGTGCGTGCGTAGCGTGCCCAGCGACGAAAACCTCTGCGACGCGCCCTATCCCCGCAGGCCCCTCCAGATCATGTACCGTCAGCCTTATCCGACCTACGCCCGCGGCCTGTCGCGCTACGATCTCGAGGACGAGGCGGATTGGATCGAGAGTTCTTACTTCAGACGAAGGCCGAGATCCTTCTGCACCGTGCCCGATCCAAAAAGGTAAATACAGGATCTCGATCTCGAAAAGTGACCAACGAGTCGAGATTTAAACTCTTAAGAAAGCTAGCTGTCAATTTTTTACAGAGATGTAAGCACAAGTCACTGATGTATTTTTCTCACGTCCACGTGTATTGTCAATATTTTTCGTAAAATGCAATTTGACTGTTTTGTCAAAAGTGATTGTCAGTTACCGATAAGTGCGATATACTTGCATCAACACGTGCAAAGGCAATAATATTTGGCTCCTTGGCTATGTCGAGGAGCCGAGTTCCTCGGATATTTGGGGCAAATTACTCTGGCGGGACGCGTTTAGAATGTATGTATCTAGTGATCGATTTATTGGTAAGGACTTTGGTAACGTAATTGATGGAAAGGCGTGTCGCGTCGTAGCGACGAGTGTGCAAACGGAAAGGCAATGAAATTGGAATTTAAGACCTTCGCACACGGCCAAATCGTTCCTTCGTTTTCTAATTAAATAAAAAATTCGAATAAAAATAGAAATAAAAATAAAAATTCGTTTTCTAATTAAACAATTATTCGGAAATAAAATGAAAACTGTTAAAAAAATGAGTTTTATGCATTTGAAAAGTATGAACAATTTCCATTTAAAAAAAAGCGATGAATTTTTGGCAAGAAATCTGTAGCAAAAATGCATGATTTTTACGTAGTCAATAAAAATTATCTCGAAAATCCACCTTTGCACTTACATTAATAGAGAAAAAGAGAGAAGAAACATCCTATGGTTTTAGATAGACCTGATATAAAAACGATATTTATATAGCGCACGATGTTCCATCGACTGTTACGTGTAAAGCCTTCCGTGGTCTCCCCAGTGTATAGCGTGCGCACCTAAGGGGTTGGGTTTATTTCTGATTAGCATGAGTGCCGCAGCGTCCCTTTATCAGCTTTTTAAGGTCAACGGAAAGCGGTCAATTAAAAAATTATAGTTGCGCGCAAAATCGCCGTTTATATGCGGAATATACAGAAGAAAATCCAGAGGCAATAAAATAGATTTTAGTACGACGGTATAATTATAGCGCCTTTTGTGTGCGCCAGCGATGTTATTTTAAATTTATTATCATCTTTATTAGTTTATTTATCGTTCATTCTCCGCGATTGTTTTGCGATAAATGAAAATTAATCTTGCACAATAGCATCTAAAATATTCTGACGATTAATACATGTACGATTTACGTATATAATGCATTTGAGGGTCATCTATTTCTCGATAGAATGACATAATGTCATTCTGTTTCCTGCGATAGTATCTGTAACACGTGTAATCCAGTTATATTTGCAACAATGTCTATGTACATGACCATTATCTTTTGACAATGCAGCCTTCTATCCAGTCCATTTCATTTTTATTATTAACTACAAAATATAATCAATACATTATTTTATCGATTAAAGTAATCTTCTATCGCAATTACGCGTAAATTACATTAACTTGATCATTTTAATAAAGGTAATTTTAATATCTTTTTTTAACTTGATAATATTTTAAATTAATTAATAATACAATTTTTAAATTAATCATAGTTTCTTTCATATCAGATCACTTTTAAGAGAAATTTTGCCTCCAATTTTACTCATATTAATTGATAAGACAAGTCAATCATAAGAAAAAATTTAATGCAATACGTAATTTGACGAAACGCATGATTCTCTCTCACCAAGATACACCTGGGTGCCGGAAGACGAAGAATCCATGAGACTGGAAGGTCCGCGGCCGGTGTTACCGCCGGTGATACCCCTTCCTCCTTCCTTGACGACGATGCAAGGACCTCAGGTTCCTAAGACGAAGCACGTGAGCTTCGCGCGATCGCACACACTTACGTCGTTCGAAGTCCCAAGAAACAGAAGCCCACCGAGGCCACATAATCCGGAACGTCTTATAGACTCGCAGCCGACAATGCAGAATGCTATACTGCCTTCGTCCTTGCCCTTAACTCATCCTTACCCTGGCATTGAGCCACGTGTCCTCGTACTTGGTAAGTATACTTGCTTCTTGCAATCGTATCGAGTAACACGATCGCAAAGTTTCTCGCATATACACGTGTATAAACTCTAAACGTACGTACAAACGTATGAAATATAAATACAACAATCTAAAACGCTTGGATTAATTTTATTGGAATTTAATGCGCCAGATATTTTGCGTCGCGTAATGATCCTGTACGAGCTGTTTTGATCCCAAGCCAAGTATCACAGATTAAGCCGGACGAATAGTTGAGGCTATTTATCCGTGGCCGGCAAAGTTCGTTATAAGCTAGATTAACACTCGAGAAATTCTGACCTGGGGGAAAAGACGAAATGGGATATGAATATATCGGAGGGTGACGTGACGACGAAATAAATTTGTATAAAATTATATATCGATTTGTCGAACTAAAATCGCTGAATTCTATATTTTAACAATTCTATTTTCCCTTAACAAATTCGAAAAGTTAATTTTACAAAAATCGAAAGGACATTTAAGGATGTTTTGTACCTATTTTCAAAATATTGAGAATTTTATGAAAATTGTACAGAATGTGCTTACATATGTTTAGAATCTTCAGTACAATTTTTAAATCGATTCACTAAAGCGTTCACAAGTTATAAAGATTTTAATTTGCACCGAATTAAATTATGTTCTTATGGGAAACGTACAACCACGTCGATTCAAATGACAAAAACACATGGAAATAATATTCAGAATTTATTTAAAATTTGCAAAAATTTAGATACAGAGGAAATATCTGGTCAAATAATATTAGTATCAGTATCAAATAATATTAGTATCAGTATTATACAAATACTGATTAAAAAGATATTAAATATAATTCAATGAAGTTAACCATGTATCTGTCACAAGGCGAAATTCTCTGCCAAAAGTTAATTGTTTCGATTAACAAAATTCGAAATTTCATTAAAAACGCAATAAATATTAAAAAATATTTACTTCTCTGCGTAGCTACAATAAAATCAAATTGTAATATTCCACACAATTTCTCATACTCAAAATCTACCAAAAGTAGATATATTCGTCAATATTGATTTTCAGCTACTTTTTGCTGGATTTATACATACAAAACATCCTTAAACAAATTCTTTATATTATATTCTTAGAATATTATATTCTTAGAATTTATATTCTATAAATCGATATTAAAAAAATAGTGCATTATTTTTTTTTCAAGAACGTCGATTTACAGGATAGTTTAGTCCACTTGTAGCGATCTCCCTGGGTTCCAGAGAAACCACCTAAACGCGGTGCCATGAAGACCCAGGCGACGCAGACCGAGATCCCAGCGATGTTTCGCGGTCGCGTGCTCCCGGTGACCCTTAGTCCCCGAACCATCCATCGGGTCAAGATGGTTTCGCAGGGCGCACAAACGAATGGTATTTTCAACGGGAGAAAATTGACAAAGAGTTATTCGGAAGCCGGACAATTGGGGACTCCGCTCGGCGGCGGCCAGGTAGGCGCGCCGACGAAGGAGGAGATCGAGCACGAACCGCTTCACAGGACGCAAAGCGAGGAACCACCGAGGTCGCCCTTTCTCGTTTCAACGACGCCACCGCTGCCCCCCTCCTCCACCACCGTCGTTATTGAAGAATCCTTGCCAAATGGAGACATTGTCCCCGCCGAAATTGTGAGTACTCCGACACTTTTTTGCACATTTTACGAGAAGAAAAAAAATGTGGATTGTTATCCCGCGCCATGTTTTTGCCATCGAAAACGTCCCGCTTAGATATAACTCTTCAAATAATCTAGAAGAAGAAAATATACCTGAAATTGTATTTTGGATAAGAAAGATAATTTTAGTTTTCATTTATTTGACTTATTTTTAGTATAAACAGAATTTTATCACGAGATAAAGATAGTTTTTAGAATTTAGGATGTAAAAATAATATAAAAATAGTATCTTAAAAAACGTTAATGATGAAAGCAGATATTTTAAAATACGCTACATTAATGTATAATAAATCTATCAAACATTATCTTAAATAATTTGCTAAATATAACTGTTTTTATCTAAAATAAAAATAAATATAATACATATTTTAATATTTTAGAAAATATTAAAGATAAAATATCAAATTTGTAAATAAAAATAAATATTAAAAAAAACATTGGTTGGACGACGAAAAGTTGTTAGACAACTTGCAAGTGAAAAACAAAAATGTAATTCGAAATTCACCCACAATTATATTCGTTTCAGCCTCGTTATCATCGTAAGTCCCTCGACATCGACGATCAGGAGATCTTCATAAATTTCAAACCAGCACCGGTGTCGCCAGACGCGCGAGCGCTTCTCAGCCGAATCTCCGAGCCTACGCGTAGATTCCTACCCCTTCAAAAGACCTTCTCCGACGGCGAGATTCGTATCGAGAGACGCGAGCTGATCGGCGAAAGTAGCGAGCCGAGTTATCCTCACACCTGCAGGAGGAATCAGCAGGACTCCTGGGGCAGAGTCAGAACGCCCGTCCAATTTTCCTCGACGCCCGAGGATCTGTCCTTGTTGCGAAGCCTCTCGCCCCACGAGGATCATCATGAAGAGGTAACAAAAGAAAAATATTAGAGCTGTTTTGTGAGAATTGATTTTTTGTCGAAATTAAAGAATAGGTTGTAAGAAACATTCTGTCGCATATTTCAGGAGTTTCACGAAAATCTAATACGTCGGGGTCTTTTCCGAAAGAGGAGCGTATCCCTCGAGGACGGCGTGCAGGGTCTGTCGTCGGACGACTTTATGCTTCCTAGGTCACTCCCTACTTCACCCACATCGCCAACTGCAGCAGCAGGTACGTCATGTATCATCCATACACAATATCATCCATTTTTATTAGTGAGCTTATATATATGAAATCAGTGAGATTGTTGAAGCAGTCTTTAAATTCGACTATCAGACTAAATATCAGGCAATAAAATTACCCCTTAATAATGATCCTAAGAAATCATCTGTAATAAATGAATATTCAATTAGCATCGGCGGTATTCTTTTCAGCGCCACGTAGGATCTTGCAGACTCCGAAGGACGATTCGTTGCCGAGCTGCGCCTTATTGCCCGCGGCGATATGTCCGGCTGCCTTCAGCATCGGAACCGGCATTCCCGGCACCAGCATCATCGGCCAGGCGGCCTCGCCGTTCGCGTCGAGCGATTCATTGACCAACGACGTCACCAGGGACCATAGCGACGGGATATGGAACGAGTCGCAAGCAACAGTTCTCCAAGCGGACTCGTTGGCTTTATTGACGCCGTCCTCGAGAAGAAGGCACCTCCTGCTGCTGCAACATCAGCAACGCTCCTCGATGGACACCGAGGCTCTCGATGTCGAGGACGAAGTGGAGCCTTGTCCGCCGAGTCCACGAATACGCCTGGAACCGGCCACTCCGGTGCAACCCCTCACACCAAGGTAGGCCCCTAGTTTATTTGTTTCGAGAGAGTTTTACGCGCGGTTGAAAGTTATTAAAGTCAGGACGTGTGCGAGGGAATATGTCGAAAATTTCGATCGAAAGATGTTAAATGAGAATTTTTTCGTATCGGCGCTCTTGTGTATGCTTTATTTAAAGGAGATACTTTTTGCAGACGCCATTACAGAATACAAGATCTGTTACCGGTACAGTTTCAACAAATTTACTACAATGATGTATCCGCAACAGCACATTTTTATGCCTACGATATGTAAGATTATAACGTATTTTGATCCGATAGTAGAGCACCCCAAATTTTAAGTAACTTCTAAACTAAATCATCTTCGCAACATTTTTTGTCTTATTTTTAGATGTCTTTGGAAAAACAACATTCTGTCAATTATATCGAAAATTTAAAAATAGGCTGAAGATAATACATTTACATCCACATCTGCCTTCGTTTCTACGATCCCCCCATTTTAAAAATCGATATAATTGATGGAGTTGAATAGTTTGATAGAAGCTTTACCCTAAAGAAATTTAGAATTCTTGATACATTTTACAAAATTAAATTTCAACAATTAATACTCGAAGCGCAAAAATAAAACGGAAAAAATTATGCCAATTTTTTAAATTCTTAATTAAAAGTGATTTCCTGTTATTATAAATTTATTAAAATTTCGTATTAAACTTTTTTTGTCATTATAACTTTATTAAAAACTGTTCTACATAGCATTTGAATTTTATCAAAAAGTATTTTGATTTATAATGATTCTGATAAAATTAAAATTACGAGAATGTAAAGTTGGCATTTTTGGACTTTTACTTCTTACATTTAGAGCTTATGCTTTGATCAAACCTTAATTAATCTAATTAGCGATTCAACTAAGATGAATCTATTTACAGAAAAATGTTTCAAAATTTTTAAATTTATAATCCGTGTTATTTTTAATCTAATTTTTCTTTTCATGTATCAAACAATAAAAATTTAATAATCCTATTCATATTGTAATAAAATATATCAATAGAATATAAATATTATTTGATAAATTAATCGCTAATTAAAGTTAATTGACAAGTTTTATCAAAGCCGTTCGTAATCACCATAACTCGTTTCGTTATCAGAAATCGATATTTTTTCACGTCCTTCCATGTATATAAATATTAAGATGAGATTATCTTGAAATATTCCACGAGATATTTTATACATTTTGTGTCGGGATATAAAAAATATCTCGTAAAATATTTGCTTTCCTTCGATTTGACGTTAATAATTTGATGTAGGATAATAAAAAAAAATCGATTCGTGCAAGAAAGATGATTTCACTTAAATAAAAGTGAGCGGAGACTTCGGCCTCCTGCCGTAGAAAACTTGGCAGCGAGATACTCTGCTTGTTTCATAAAGATCAACAACGAATCTTAAAATTCCAACGAGAAAAGTTATTTGCTATATCCAATTCTACTTTCAAGGAAAACATCGCTTGTAACATTTTACGATATACACCCTGTATATACGCCCCCATCCGTGCTTATCCTTGTTTTTGTTTCGATTTATATATATATATATATTTTTTTTTTTTTTAATTTTTTGCTCGCTAATCTTTTATTATTTCGATAAAACATAATTATAATTTCAGTCCATAATAATTTTCTTCCGGTATCAATCTAAATCCCTATCTAAATAGGGGATTAGGGAGGTTTTGGCAACGAGGAGAGATTGATCCTCTTTAAGTCATGTCGTTATTTATACACATAACTTCTTCCTCTGTGATGATTCATCAGCATTTGTATATAACATCTCATTCTCTCTCTCTCTTTTTTTAATATGTACATATATATATATATATATATATATATATATATTGTATATAATTGAAATGTTGCTTCCCCTCTGGCCTCCCTCTTCCGTCCGTGGGATCTTTGCATTAAAGTCCCCACGTTTTTCCTCCAGTATCGAATCGTCTATTCTGTATATAAGCCGCCATCCGTGCTTATCTTTGTTTTTGCTTCGATTTATATATATATATTTTTGTTTTTTTTTTTAATTTTATGATTGCTAATCTTTTATTATTTCGTATTTGATAAAACATAGTTATAATTTCAGTCCATAATAATTTTCCTCCGATATCAATCCAAATGCCTATCTAAATAGAGGATTAGGGAAGTTTTGGCAACGAGGAAAGATCGATCCTCTCTAAGTTATGTCGTTATTAATATGCATAACTTCTTCTTCTGTGATGATTCATCAGCCTTAATGTATATAACATTTCATTCTCTCTCTCTCTCCCTGTCTTTATAATATGTACATGTATATAAAATTGAAATGTTGTTTCCCCCCTGGCCTTCCTTTTCCGTCTGTGGGATCTCTGTATTAAAGTCCTCACGTTTTTCCTCCAGTATCGAATCGTCTATTTCTGTATATACGCCGCCATCCGTGCTTATCCTTGTTTTTGCTTCGATTTATATATATATATTTTTTTTTAATTTTTTAATTGCTAATCTTTTATTATTTCGTATTTGATAAAACATAATTATAATTTTAGTCCATAATAATTTTTCTCCGGTATCAATCTAAGTCCCTATCTAATAGGAATTAGGGAGGTTTTGGCAACGAGGAAGAATCGATCCTTTCCAAGTCATGTCGTTATTAATACACATAACTTCTTCCTTTGTGATAATTCATCAGCATTAATGTATATAACATCTCATTCTCTCTCTCTCTCTTTTAATATGTACATATATATATATATATATATAAAATTGAAATGTTGCTTCCTCCCCTGGCCTCCCCTTTTCCGTTCGTAGGATCTCTGCATTAAAGTCCCCACGTTTTTCCTCCAGTATCGAATCGTCTATTTCTGCGAGCAACGGCCGACCGAGGAGCGGGTTACGTCGCGCTAGTCCAGGTCCGCCCTTATCGCAGCCCCAGTCGCAGTCGTCGAGCGAGTTCGGCTTAAGCCTGGCGAGGACCGACTCGGGCGGCCGCACCAACACCGATCTCTCCGAGACCTCCGAGGATTACGTCACTGCCAATACTTCTACGGAAACCGGGACCACCACTGGCACGTCCGCCACGACCAGCTCCTGGTCGAGGCCACCGCAGACATCCAGCGCCGCGGCGTCGGCGGCGTCGGCGCCGGCTTCGACCACCGCGACCGCCGCGGAAGGCAGCTCCTTCGAAAGCGCCAGTTCGATCTACAGCCTGGCGAGGAGCGAGGTAAGCCCCGTCATCTTCCAGGATTATTCGGATATTAAAGAATTTTCGGATGAATTTATAATGTAATTAAAGTGTCCCCGTTTTCGCTCGCTACCCTCTTTGATTGGCAAATTTAATTTTCTTTCAGAAGGTGTAATTAACGATCACTTTAAGATTTGAAATCTTCAATTTATATCATTAATCTGATTTAATAATAAGTTTATAGATTGCCTCCAAAATTAGTCGCGCAACGAAATCTTGTCGCATTCATACGAGAAAGAAATCTGATTGATACGTACCTTCTGCCTTAGGCCGTCATCGAGGAGCCGTGTAGTCCGCCGCCGATTTTAGAGGAAGCGGAACTCGCATTTGGATTAGAACTACCTCCGCCGATGAGGTCCAGCAGCAGCAGCAGCTCGGGTAGCTACGATCTAAAGGATGCGATGACGGATCCGAATAACGACCTCGAGCAGGTCGCTTCACCCAGTGGACATACCTCAGAGACTGAATTAGATCGAGATGTAAGTAATGTAAGAGACCATATCGAAGACAACTATTAAATTTATGAAAGGTTTGAAAAAAATAATGAAAATAAAAGAAGAGAGTGTATACAAATAAAAATCGCGGTAAATTGTTATCGAAATATTTAGGTTGATTAAAATATTTTTATTCAGGAAAATAATCTCTATTAATAAGAAAGAATTTCAATAGGAGGGTCACCGATCGTCGTCTGGAGGTTACGCCGAATCGCCTCCTGACGTTCGCATGTGGAGCGAAGAGGAGCGTCGTCGGAAGAAGAAGACCTTCAGCCTGGACTTCCTCGGAAGTGCGTCGAACAATGTCGAGCTGGAGCACAGCGCGGAGCCGGCGTATTCGGAAAATGTCGAGGTCAGTCCAACGCCGAGTCATCGTCATCGATCGCGAAGCAAACCGACGTCGGCTCGGAGTCCCCATCGGAATAATAGGAAGCGAGACGCGATGCAACAGTCGACGCAGCAGCAGCAGCAGCAGCAACAACAGCAGCAACAACAGCAGACGCTCAGCAGAAGCCCTCAGAAGGACGAATGGAGAGTCGAACAGGTCGAGGACGGTCCTCATGCGCCGACGTCCGACGATTCTAGCTGCAGTCATCATTATCATATGCATCACCACCATCATCATCACATGCATCGAGACGGTGCGGAAAGTGGAAGGCATCGTCGGACCAGGGAAAGCCCAAGGAGAAAGACCAGCAGTTACCTCTCGACCAGAAGACGTAGCAATGAGGTAAAGATCGTGTCCGTTTTATTATTGACGAAAGGAGAAAGAGAAAGAAAAAAAGAGTTTGCTGTAGTAGGAGTATTTGTGTTGTATGTTTTACAATTCATCCATATCTCTTTATTTCGTCTCTTTCTCGTTTGTACAATGAATCAAAGATCTATTAGAAAGATAAATAGAACAATGATAAAAATGTATCTCTCTGATATTTCACATTATTTTATTATTATAACAGTCTAATGAATAAAAAGTAGGATATAGTAAAAGTATTTTAATATTCTTAAATAGACTAATAAAGTTTCTAGACGGCTTAAATAAATGTTTAATTAAATAACTTTAAATAACTTTAAATCATAATTAAATAAACTTATTTTATTTATTTTAATTAACTATACATTAAATTAAATTTAGTTTAAATTAAATATAATTTCAAACGATTATTTCAAATTCGAATTCAATTTTATTATTAAAAATGTATATTTTTTAAATAAAAATATATTTGTCTATTTACCTGAAATAAAATGCTATACGATGTTAGAAAATATCCAAGTTTTTTATTAGTTAAACTGCCATATATAATTACTAAATAAATTATTAAAATCTTACTTTCTTACTTAATGAATTATTATTATTATTAATTACTAATTATGTATACATATATGTCAATTATTTATTTATAGGTGTGATAGATATAAATTATTATTCATTTATCGCGAATGAAATCGCGTTGCAGGATAAGAACGCGGCGTTGACAGGTAGCTTGCCGCGAAGAAAATCGCGCCTCGCGGATGATATAGTTTGCGCCACTCGTCTGAGCCCCGGTCGTTATCAGCGTAGTCCGGGGCACAATGGTCAACGAGCGCTCGTCGTCGAGGCGCAAAGCCCGGAGGCCAGACTGAAGGCATTGTCCGCGGAATCGTTGAGATCCGTCAGCCCCGGCAGCGACAGCGTCTTCTACAGCGAGAGCGCCGATCAGCCCTGCATCTCGGCCGTCGCCGCTTTGGACGCCGCGCACTGTCATCATTGCGGCCGAGAGGTGATATATCGCTTATCATCGCATCACTCGCTCGCCCCCCCTGCATGCATTAACCCTTTGCACTCGGCGTAATCTCTTTGCCTATGCGACTGTTCTTTTTGTTCGCGAAATTTCGCAAACTTTATTTACGTTGACACAGGTTAAATTAAAATTAAGAACTTGTTGGCACTTGAGAAAAATAAAAATTAGAATTTATTTACGTTAACATTTTTTTGTGCATCTTTGCATATATAAGAATATATTTTAAAAATTATTATTTATTAAGACTAATTATAAACATGTTTAGACTATCGCCACAACATCGATAAAAAAAGGAAAATAGATGTGTTCGATTTCAGACTATTTATAACTGCTTTCGATCGACAGACACATTGCAATTAATAATATTGGATTAACTGAGAGGAGATTTCGAGTGTAAAGGGTTAACAGGGTTTAATAACATTTTTTACCATATTTATTCACGATTTCATTCATCATCTACGAAAGATTTTCTTTAGTAATTCTCTTTATCTGAAAACTAGGAAAATAGGCGTAGAATGCATCTAATTTTTCTGCAGCTTTATTGTAGCTTTAAATTAGACTTTATTGCGAATTATAGATACCGAATATTATACTTGTTACTAATTTAAACTGCAACTTTCTAAAAATTAAAGAGTTATTATAATCATTATGTTATTATTTTCTTGAGGTTTTGACATTTAGAAGGAGCCGTAAAGTAAATCCTCTGGATAGTTGCCTTTCTCCCCCTTTGTTTTAAAAATAGCATTCACTTTTTGTAGTTTGCTTTTCACTAGCATCAATTAGACATGTGACTTGCTCTTCTTTGCTTGATAAATTAATAAGCGAATAAATACATAGATCATGAATACATATATCAAACATATTTTTTTTGCACTTTTTATGCATTTTTGAAAGTAAAAATATTTATAAAATTTACATCTATAATTCTTTTGAATAGTGGAAAAAATAATTTATAGTTATACATAATCTATTATTTGCTTTCCGTTTCATGTTTAATCTAATTAAGTAAATAGTATAATTATTTCAACAAGATAATAAAAAATATAAGATAATGAAAAATATAAAAAAAGATATTACTAGGAGCTATAATCACACAGTAGTCGCCTTGATTTTTCCATAGAATGAATGTCCACGAACGAATAACATGATATGTAATGCAAAGTAGATTCTTCTTTCAATCTATTTCGATCTGTCCATCTGTCTGCCTTCTTTCTCTATCGTGTGTGCCCTCCTGTTGCTTCATCCCGAGGTGTCGGAAGAGATCGTTCGACCACCGGCAGGTTTTGCGGACTCCCCGGAAGGACACAGAACATCTGCCAAGCACGTTACAGGACACCGGCTGTATAAGAAGTTTGACAAGAGGTACAGATCGGAAGATCGTGGGGACCGTAGACATCGCCGTGGCAGCGCCGGTAGATCGGACATTCGAGCTAAATCGGAGGAGAGAGCCACTTCTCGATCAGGGAGTAGAGGTTCGATCGACGACACTGGTAGAAGGAGGCTGCAAGCTCGAAGTACCGATGTCAGCATGGAGATCCTCACAGGTGAATTTAATTTATGCAAATAATAAATAATAAATATCTATTTATATATTTTAAATATTTTTTTATATTTTATATATTTTTTGTATATTTATATATTTTATATATATTTTATATTACGTGTTAAATTAATTATATAAAAAAATATAGATATACATATATATTAATATAATAAAAACTTTTCCTATGATTGTTTTTACTATGAGCAATTATGAGGAGGAAATTTAGTCATTTGGAGTAAAAATAAAGATGGCAAGGATTTTTAGCTTATATTAAATTAATATATACTAATTAATCCGTCCAAAAAACATAGATGACCAATAATCGTAGACGTTCTATTTGCATGATTCGACAAAATTTAATTGGCATTGGAGCGATTTATTGTTTTTCCGTGTGACACGTCTCACGGAATATCGGTGACATTCCGAATTTCCTGACCTAAATAAGTCACCCGGACTACTGAGCTTAAATACTCCACGCGGATACGATCGATAGCTAATAATCATAGTTCTTCGATTCTCGGATCCAATAGAACTCGGATTTCGTTGACTCGCGAAATATCTCACGTCTTATTGGCGTTCCGGATTTTTCTTCTTGCATCCTTTTCGCATCCTTATCGTATCCTTCTCGCGATATCTTACCTTTAATTCCTAAAAAAGCACGCTCGAGGGAGCACTACTTGGCTTTCCCGAGCTCGAGACGTAGATAAAACTTAAAAGAAAAAGATGTACCAATATTTTTTTAACAACTTTCAACCGTGTCGCCTATCACACCGAAAGTATGAATTAACGTGTTTATTTACAATGTCAACGACTTTCTTTGAATGTAAATATTACTCACACAAATTTATTTCATACATTTTAGTTACTCATGCATGCGATCAATGTAGTCGCTGTAGTTCCGAGTGTTTTCTTAAAAGTTAATTTCTTGAAGACTTATATAAATAAAGGATTTATTATAAAAAAGGATATATATATAATTATATAATTATTATATATAATATTATATATAATTATTAATTATAATGTATTATATATTATATATTAATTATTATATATTATATTTTATTAGGTATTTAAATATTGTATTTAATATATTATATCGAGATATATTGCGAATTAAAATAATCAATTTGCCTAAAAAGTATATGTACATTATTTATATTCTTTTAATTCTCAATTATAAAGTTATAATTAATGTACATGTTAATAATAATCTACTGACATAATTTTTATTCATTCAAAATATATTTGAAATAATCTAACTTCTAAAAAAGTATTATTTGAAGATTTTAAAATGTCTGTTATTAGTATTTATATTTCTATATGTGTTTATAAATAATTCGCAAATAATATTTTAATATTTGAAATACTATTTTTTAAATTAAATCAGTGTATCTGAAATCTTATATCACTGTTTTAATCAGTAATATTTTCTCTGATTCAATTTAAAATAACATGTTTTATATTTAGACATATTTCTTATTCAGGCCGCTCTTATTTTTAGGTCAGCATTCGTTCTTATTTCGCGTTATGCAAGAGTAAAAATAAATACTGAAAAAAAGATTTAACAACAGTTTATGTAATAACATTAATGTTTCTAGAAAACTGAGGATAACATTAGCAATAATTATTATATCAATAATTTTCTCATTATAATTTATTTCTCTATCGTTGTTATTATAATATCAATATTATTGTAATTTCTGTGAATTAGAATTCAATTATCCTTATATATGTACATGTATATATACATGAGAAATATATAATAATGCAAAATTAAATGCAAAAGTTTATTAATATTAAAAAAGTATCACTTTTATATTCAATTATTTTAGAAATAAATAATATAAAATTTTCAGATTTTTCTCTTCCTCTTTTGCTCTTTTTTTTATAAAATGAGAACAAAATAACATCATTACAGAAACTTTTATACATAATATATTTGTTTTTTTGTTTTCACTTGATGACAGGACGAGAAGACGAAGATACTTATGTGGAACCGTACACGAGCAGCGAATGGATTTATATCGGGGATCTCGAAGAGAGTCATGTCTGGAAAAGGCCCGATAGCAGAGACGGTGACGACGATATCACGGACAGTGTTCATAAGGACAGACGGGACTCTCAAGAATCCACGGAGAGCGAGAAGAATTTTAAGAAGAGATATCAAGCGGCCACGCATAGGATGGTGCACCGAAAGAGTAGCGTTGAGATGTACAAGAGGATACAAACAAAGTGTTTCGGTGAGTCAAGCACCGTTATTTTTATCTGACAACCAATATACCTTAGAAAAAAAATGTAGTCGTTCTAGAATTTGACGTAAAATGTATTCATATGAAATTTTCACGATATTTACACGTTTTCTTCAATTTCATCTTATTATTATTTGAAATACTAATTAAATAATTAGTTTAAAATTACAAAGTTTACTTTTCAAAGAGAAAAACTTTACTTCTTTTATGAAAAACAATTCAAAAGTAAAATCTTTGCCTTAAAAATATTTACGGAAAATAATCATACAAGATAAAGATATTCTTGCGTTGATATAAAAAGATTATAATTAAAAACATAGCTGTTACACAGAAAATTCTGGTTACATTTAAAATCCTATAAACTGTTTTATCGATTTTAATCTTATAAATGCAAGTCCATTAGCGCCTAATAGCGTTATCGCGATCGTCGACTTGAGTTTCACCAATGCAGCTGTTCTATAAATGCTCACGTTTATGTAGAAGTCTAAACCACATTCCAAAATTTCATCTCCGCGTTATAAAATCATTCGGCATAAACGTCTGATGCGGCACAAACGAGCCGCTTTAATGTCGATTTGCGCATCGGCGAAGAATGTTCTTAAATCGTCTCGCGAAGGCATCCGCACGTTAGATCTGCCGACAAGAGGGAGAATCGGGTTCGCGAGAGTGAACGAGGGCGAGATAAAAGAGAAAGAAAGATGGGCGAAGAGAAGCGAGGGCAAGAGAGAATGTCTGGAATGTCGCGAAATAGCGCGAAGAGATAGATAAACAAATAGATCAGACGGATAAGTCCGGAGCGTTAAAATAAATAAAATTTATTCCAAGATCAATTTTCTCTGAGGAAAATCAGAGATTGTATACACAGAGAGAATAACACGCTTTTGAATGAAATATCTCTACAAAAATAAAGAATCAGGCGATGTTGCAAATTTTTCTGAATTTTCTCGATGCGTAGAAAAGCTGTAGCCGCTAACGAGAGTAAACTCATGAATATTCAAGGATATCTAAATTGGAGAGAGAGAAAAATTAAGAGAGCAAGAAAGGAAATCGGGTCACGATGCAAGCGGGAAAAAATGCGGGTAAAGAGAGAGAGGGTGTTTCTTCCCGATTCTTTAAATAAGCACCGCGTAATACTCGGTCTAAATATAACCCACCCGACGAGAGCAGGGGCCGACGTCGAGGCGAGACGTCAAATCCGATTCCGTACGAAAGACGGAGTAGAGGAAGAGCGGAGCCTCGGGGAGAGCGACATGATATCTGCGCGTGTAAAGTCGACGGAAGGTGGCCCGTGTCGGGGACGAGGGGATCCACGAGCGAGGGGGGCCGGTGCGTGACTCGAAGAAGGAGCTTTTGGCAGGCCAGTCAGTGGGTCAGGGCGCCGAGACGCATTCCACTCGAGGCGTCGTCGTCTTCGCGATTCACACCGTTTTCCTCCGTGGAAACGGAGGGTCGACTCTCCGCCATCTGCTCCGGCGCGCGCGAGGGAAAAAAGGGGAGAGGAAGAAACAACAGGGTAGCAAATTCGATCCCTCGAATCATTTTCCCTTCTTCCTTTCATCCGACGACCGACGATGGTGTGCAACTCCGCGAGTTCCGAGTGCGCGATGAAAGTGGATAAGGACGTGACGCTGAAGCAAGCCCTGGAGGAGCTGCTGAAATGCATGCTCAGGGTCTGGTGCAGGGAAAGTCAAGCTCTGGCGAGATTTGGCGCGTCGACGACAGGTAATGTTCCGAAAAAGGAAGTAAAAATGAGACGATTGTGCATCGGTATCGATCACTAGCGGTATTAAAATATGAATAGAAAAATTAACGCTTTAAATGTTCCAAGTTGAAATCTCAAGCCAATTAAATCAAGATTTACAAGATACTTATATACTGTTTAAGGATGTTTTGTACCTATTTTCAAAATATTGAGAATTTAATGAAAATTGTACAGAATGTCCTTACATATGTTTAGAATCTACAATTTTTAAATCGATTCACTAAAGCGTTCACAAGTTATAAAGATTTTAATTTACACCGAATTAACATATGTTCTTATGGGAAACGTATAACCACGTCGATTCAAATGACAAAAACACATGGAAATAACATTCAGAATTTATTTAAAATTTGCATAAGTTTAGATACAGAGGAAATATTTGATCAAATAATATTATACAAATATTGACTGATTAAAAAGATATTAAATATAATTCAATGAAGTTAGCCATGTATCTGTCACAAGGCGAAATTCTCTGCCAAAAATTAATTATTTCGATTAACACAATTCGGAATATTTCATTAAAAACGCAATAAATATTAAAAAATATTTACTTCTTTGCGTAGCTACAATAAAATCAAATTGTAATATTCCACACAATTTCTCATACTCAAAATCCACCAAAAGTAGATATATTCGTCAATATTGATTTTCAGCTACTTTTTGCTGGGATTGTACATACAAAACATCCTTAAATGATCTATAAAATATTTTACTCACTCTAAGAAATGATTTCATATGAAAAGCGATACACTTTCCAGACGCTCATGTGTAAAGATATTTTTTATTATTTCGAAAGTTGACTCTTTCATCTCGCGATCCTTAATTGCAATATCGCGAGGCTCACTCTACAGACAGTTATTATCGTTCATAGAAGCTATGTAGGGATAATGTGTCATTTTGTATTCATGGTTCGATCTCTATTCATGAAACATTGGACGGCGCCAAATTAACGACGACGTAAATAACCGTGGCGAAGATACGCGTCCGTATCTTGACACAAAGATATCGGAAGGTGTACTCTCGACGACAATCGAATGTCGGCCAAGAATCGTTAAGACGTAGCCCGAGTATCTTAATGAGAGCGTACACCTGTCGTCATCAAACGCGCGCGTCCACGTACATATATATCATCTCAACGTAATTGCACCGGGGCATGTAAGAGGACCTATATTTCATTGATGGGACGTGACGTTATTGATATTTACGACATTATTGGTATTGCGACGTATTTTTTTTTTCATCGCGTTTAAATGGATCGAGGAAGCCACGGATGACACACGTACGGTGAATCTAGGATTATACAGGATACACACACATCCCTTTATCCATGTATATTCATAGAACCGGCAATGCTTATAATACTGTATATACGATGAACTTCGCGCGCACAATAAAGTCGCGCTCTTTTTCCAGCGTCTTTCACGTTCATGATCAAAGCGGGGACTAAAACGGACTAGATCGCCAGTGGCGATGGCGATGGCGCAAAAATAAAAGCTTGACGGTGGTCACCTCTGCGTGTATGTGTGTGTGTTAACGAAGGGAAAGGTCTGGGCTCGAAATATGCTCGATTACGTTTGTGGCGCAAACTAGAGCAGCCGCGCGCACTTTTTTGCACGTGAAACGTCGCCATCGTCGATCCATTTTTTCTTCCTCATCTTCTTCTTCTTCTTCCGCCCCGGCCGATCTAGAGCGGCCCCGTAACCGTGCTCGTAATCGTGCCCCGCAACTATTCTCGTGGTGGTCGCTCGATACCGCACGTGGCCTGGCCGTAAAGCGCGCGAGGCTTAACAATTTACCACCTCGGATATACGATTCTCTTTTTGCTCGTGCATCAAATGCTCCTCGTCTAAATATAATCCATCCGGCGGGACGGATTTGCATATTAAACGCTCGTAAGGGGACTTATAAAGCGTATTAAATACCATTTCTTTCAATACAGATAATCGTGAAAATATTTTTGTTATAAGCATATATTTATGAATAATACACATGTAAATAATTATAATAAGATGTATATAATAATATATTTATAAAGCACATGTTTCTTATATTGATTTATAATAATAAAATACAATAAGATTATTTAATAATTTTATTAAATATAATAAAATTATTCACATTTAATATTTCAAATTATTCATAAAAATAAATATATTTTAAAAAATGTACAAAAAAATTGAAAAAATTTTGAATGTTAATTCGTTCAATAATTAACGTATATTAGTTTCCAGGAAAACTATTCTTGTAAACCTCTTAAATGTTCACTTTACAACTTGCATAGAGAGCGACAAGAGGGTAATCGTGAAACGCGAGGCTGGCGGCGAGTTTGGATTCCGCATTCATGGCTCCAAACCCGTGGTGGTTTCCGCGATCGAGCCGGACACGCCCGCGGAGAGTTCCGGCCTCGAGGTTGGCGACATCATCATGTCGGTGAACGGCAGAAGCGTCATGGACGCCACTCACTCGGAGGTCGTAAGGCTCGCGCACTCCGGCACGGACGTCCTGGAGCTGGAAGTGGCGAGGACCTGCAACGTCCTGGCGCCGCGAATCGCGCGCACGGGAGCGAAGGAAGGAGCCGACGAGGCGCCGCTCTGCTCGGGATATCTGTGGAGGAAGTCAACGTCGTCGAGCACGGAGAAGTGGGTTCGCCGATGGTTCGCTCTACGTCGTGACAACTGCCTGTATTGCTACAAGACTGATTCGGTGAGTTGCGAGGGACACGTCCGGCTGCGATAATTAAAGTTATAAAAAGAGAAGGAGAGAATCCGAGTCCCTCTTTTCTCCTTTTTTCCAAAAAATGCACGTTTTTTAAAAACATATTTTTTAATAAATTTATATTTATAAAATATATATATTTTTTTAAATATATATATTTAAAAATATATATATTTAAAAAATATATATATTTTTTAAATATTTAAAAATATAAATTTGTAAGAATGAAGAGAATTGTATAATTCGGTCTGGAAAATTTGAAGTAAAAATTCAGGACTGCTTTGTGCGAGCCACTAAATGTACAATATACTTGTCGCAAAATTCAGGATTCGCAACCGGTGGGCGCGGTGATGCTCCTCAAGTACGACGTAGAGCAAACGCCTGAATTGAGAGTGCACAGTTTCGCGATAAAGAAACAAGGCGCTCCGACATTACGACTAGGGGCCGATACCGAGGAGGCGGCAGCTCGATGGACTATAGTTATACGCGAAGCAGTCGAGAGGAACAATCAGGTAGGCAAGGTGAACAGCTCGATGCAACCTAAGAACGCACGCGAGCGCAGATGAATTTATTTGCATATTTTTTTATACATTATATGTCAAGTCTCTTAGATATTCTTTTCGATCGGAGCTCGTTTATGAAAAAAATATAACGACACGATAATTTCCCTAAGATCGATACTTGGCTGGACTCGTCGCTGAGAATGAGAGAAATGGCGGCGTGCGCTATCGCGAGGCCGGACTGTTTCGGATATCTGAGCAAGCAGCAGGAACACGCGCGGAAAACGTCCTCTCCCACTGGCTGGTCCAGGCGGTATTGCGTGTTGAAGGACGCCGCCTTGTACTTCTACGATGACGCCAACGCCGAGAAGGCGTTCGGCGTGGCGTGCTTGCACGGTTTCAGGGTACACAGCAGCGCGCCCAGCTCCGGCGGCCGGAAGCACGCCTTCGAGCTGCAACCACCGGATCCCACGCAGCGAAGTTACATCTTCGCCACCGAATCAGAAATGGATAAGAAAAGGTGAATATTGTGAGCTTTTTGAAATGTAATGCGTTTATTTACCTAGAATGTCTGCTCTCTGGAAAATGTGGAGTTTCATAAATATTTGTACTTACTTGCAAGACGTGGCTTTTAAAGCTTCCTCTATTTATTTCAAATTGCTATTTTTGAGAAAAGTTACATACACACCTACATATATATCTGGAATGAGAAGGCTACGACTAGTATTCAAAAATTCAGAATTATATATTTTATAATTCTTAAGATGATTCTTGAAAGAACCTATGAAAAATATTTTATTCGGTCCTTAAATTTAGATCCTTTTTTAACAAAATATATTTATATAAAATTTATTTTATTTATATGTTATAATATAAGATGTATTTTTTAAATATTTTAAGAATCAAGGAATTCTCAAAGAATTTTTATAATTTTAGTAGACACCTTATTATCTCCTTACGTGTTAAGTATGAATAATTTTTTTTCTTTTGAGTAGAATGGAGGATGCCCCTTAGAATTGAAAATTGCAATGTTAAAATTCTACCATAAACAAAAAAATCGAAAAGAAAAAGAATTATAAGAAACTGTATTCATCACAAGTTTCTTGAAAAAAATACTTGCGCATATTGTTACTTTGAGAACCCAATTCATAGTCGCATCTTAAACTCAAGAAAAAAGTTTTAAAAAAATTTTCAAAGTGATACAGCCATATGTCTGTTATTTTATTTTAACTATCTAATTGGAAACTTAATTAATCAAAGTTATATTCATAAATTTCCAATTATCTCAATAACTCTAAGAAATTAATAAGTTAAAAACTTTTCCCTGATTGAAGTTGTTCCCTCTCGTTTTTTTGTGAACATCCTTGATTTAATTTATATAGGTTTTCTAATATTATTTCTTTCCAACGTTTACCATGAATAACATTTTGCTGCTATTTCAGATGGTTGGCTGCGCTTGAGTATTCGATTGATCGATGGATAAAGATAGGTTGATGCGAAACAATCCGCCCTACGACGAATCCAACGAGTCGCAGTAGCGAACATCGTCCAAGGAAATCCTCGCCCGTATCTGTTTCCGGTTCCTAACACGTCGCGAACCAGCCACGACGATCGCCGTTGGTTACCTCGACGATCATCACGTACATGCATACACACACAGATACATACACAGACACACAGACGTTTGGATGTTCGCCAAGATTTTTATTTCAACGACATTATTGAATCTCATCGTCACGATCATCATTGTAACTGCTGATTAACAGTGACGTTTACGTGAAAAATTGTTCGAATAAAAGTCAATGCAAGAAAACCAACTTGGCAACCTGTGTTCCACTTTCTGCGCGATCAGCCTCATCGCTGTCGTCGGTTGCTTGTCATCGGAATTGTTTATCAGCAGTAATGCAACTCCATCAAGACCAGAAACTAAAATCGATGACTATAATCCCTCAGCGAGTTTGGCTTCCGATGCTGACCGAGATGGAAAGATATAGCTATAAAGAACGATTGCAATTTCTTTCTCGCGAATAAATGTAAACAGACGCATTTACACGATTCTACGCCATTCGGAATCCGAACTCGTCGAAAAGTTACATTCGATTTCAGGATATAAATTTTTCTTTTTTTTTTTTTTTTTTAATTCATCGCTGCCAAGCTTCCCACATCCCGTCCACATCGTACACCTCATCGTTGGAAATAGCGCTTGGCTGAATTTGGGTTGAAACGTGTGATTGTAAAGGAAGAAAAAAATAACGAATATTATGAAAAATCAAATCTCTCGAAAATTTTATAATAACGGGAATCATTCACGACGGTCCCCTCTGATATGTCTGCGGAAACGAGGAAACCTCCAAGGTTGTGTTTGTCGCTGATACTCTATACGCACATAAAAATATGTTCCACAGCTGAGAAGAGGGAGTATAAAAAACAAATCTTTTTAAGAACGAAACGAAACGAAAAACGCAAATCTCGAATATTTAATAATTGTATAACGATGCGAATCGGTAGGGAAAAAAGTAGTACGCTTCGCGACACGCGTATGTGCATGCGTAGCGATAGTTATGCGTACGCGGTATACGTGCATGTTATGGAATTGCCATTAATTACAATATGTATCGTTATTCTTACCAACAACGCCAGTACTTGTCAACAATCGAAAAAAAGGGAAAAAATCCTCCGCGGCGGGGGGGGGGGAGAGAAAGGATCCAATCGGAAATAACGAAAATCGGAGGGAAATGATGGCGAAATGTGTGCGAGCGTGTCTAAAGATATTATTATTATTGCGTGTGAATTCGTTTTCGCATTTTATCTCTGTGCGATGATGGAAATAAAAATCGAACGTGTTGCGCATAGCTGTCAGAAAGTCGCGCGTAGGGAGGAAGCGCGAGAGGAGATCAGCGTATGTATGTACATTTTAACGAGGAGATAACCCTACACTGGCACATCAGGTTCAGATCCTGTCCGCTCCTACCGGTGTATACGGGGTGTCCCAGAATTTTCGGTACACATTTTACGGATAATTAAAACCGAATCTTTAGTAAGAGACACACTGGATCCGTTAACACATCTTGCGGTAATATATGTGAATATATATTTTTTTAAAGAAAAACTTTTATTTTTGAATTTTTTATTCTTTATTAGCTTTGAAAAAAAATTGAATTAAAAAACTTAGATTGCAAAATTTCTAATGCTAATTTTATTTCATGTTCTGAAAATTTAAATTTTCTATATATAAAAGCAGTCTTGTGCTTTCTTGTGCTTTGTATTTTCTTTATATCTATAAAAGCAGTCTTGTGCTTTCTTTTAAAGAAAAAGTGGAGTCATAAATGATCCAAGCAAAATATGTACTGATGATTCCTAGAGACACTCTGAAAGATTTTTTAAAGATTTATTTATTTTTAAAAACTTCTCTTCTTTTAGACAGGTTTTATTAATCTTATATTAGTTTACTCATATCGATAAGAAGAGAACTATCGAGAATGAATTAACGTAAAATGACAGCGGTATGACGATACCAGGATTTTCAAAGTGTTAATTCTATATATCACGGAAAGAGAATGTTAGCTAAAGAGTTGAGAGAAAAAAGATGAGACGTGCGTTATCATCACATGGCGCTGAATTTAATAGTGTCCCTTCGATAAATGATCGTTGCAAACACAAGAAAAAAAGCAGGAAGAAGAAGATGCAGGTGCGAGGAGCAAGGCATACGCCGACGATATTGTCACTACAAAGTGCGACGATACATTATTTCATGATCGGCGTGTCGACTAGGGTTTGTCGGGGAAACGATTTGAGAAAAAAGAAAAGCTTGTGTAAATCGAAAGGAGCCTGGTCAACCGCTCAAAATTTCAAATAATAAAATAGAAAGTTTAATATAATTTTCTGCTATAAAATGTATGTGTCATTTACCCATTTTTTTCGAAAAAACCAGATATCGATTTTGAGTCGAGTTTCCTAGCTCGTGTCAATCGACTAAATGTCAGATACATATATATATATATATATATATATATATATATATATATATATAACAATAGTTTTGTTATATGACATTTAGTCGAGTAATACAAACTAGGAAATGTCATATATGTCACATTTTTTTTTAAATGTCATATAAACCATGTAAAAAATTAGACTACGTGTTTTGATGTTATATTAATTAGTTAGATCCCTTATTTAATCGCGAATGTTTCATTAAAGATCAAGAAATTTATTTTAAAGATTAAAAGTCCTAATAATATATTTTAATATATTGCACATTTTTTTCTAGGAAGCTAGGGAATATCAAAAATTACGTGTTTTAATATATTATATTAATTAGACATTGCACTTATGCCTTATTTAATCACAAATATCTTACTAATCATTAACAGGTCGCAGAAATTTATTTTAAAGATTAAAAGTCCTAATAATATATTTTAATATATTGCACATTTTTTTCTAGGAAGCTAGGAAATATCAAAAATTACGTATTTTAATCTATTATATTAATTAGGCATTACACTTATGCCTTATTTAACCACAATATCTTATTAATCATTAATAGATCGCAGAAATTTACTTTGAAGATTAAAAATCCTAGTAATGTACTTTAATATATTGCAATTTTCTTCAACACGCATACCACATCTATGACAGGACAAAATAGCTGCAATTGTTTTTTGCTACTTTTAACCACATTTTTCAAAGCTGCGACGCGACGAAATCGTATTCGGCATCGAAAAAGTTCCGAGAAATGATTATTCTCCCGCCTACCTTTCTTTTTTATCGTTCAACTGCATTATTAATCAAAGCGCGGCGGACAAGAACAAAACGCGGACAGCGGTTTCTGGTTTCTGTTTCTCGTATCGAGCTCTCTCTCGTAGCGAGAATCATCGCCGGCAATGATGATTAAGACTCGACGCGGCGGCAATCGAAGGGCACGATCGATCGCGATGCACGATCCGGCGTTAACCGAACGAATAGCTGAAAAGCCACAGGAAGATCTCAATTATGATGATCGCAATGAAATATCGCGAGGGGGAGAGAGGGTGGGGAAGGGGGAGACTTTTTCAGAGCGGAGCGACGCGCTCAAGATAAATTTGGGGGAGCCTCTTGCTCCGGGGCGGGCGCGTTGCTCGCTTCGTCCGCGGCTGCGGGTATCCGTTTGATAGCAGATAGCAGGCCGAACGATGCTGGTATGTTCTCATTACGCGTCGTGTAGGTATGCGGTCCGGTCCGTGTTCCTCCGTGGTATCCACTCCGTTGCATCTCTCGCTTCTCTCTCTCTTTCTCTCTCTTTCTCTCTCTTTCTCTCTCTCTCTCTCTCTCCCTTTCCCGTCAGCTTCCTCCTCTTGGTCGGCCGAGAGCCGCGCCGCGTCTCTCCGACAGACCTCGTGGAATTTCCACGAGGCCTCTTCCGCGACAAACGTAATAATGCAATGAAGAGGGAGGAATCGCGCTGAGAGAACAGCGGATAATTAGCTCGGGAATACCTCGTGTTACATCGAGGAGAGCTCGCGCGCGCATACCTTTCCCCGCGCTCGAAATTCCACGGTGATTCGACGGATTCGGTGGAATCCTCACTTTAAACGTTCGCCATCTCTCTTTCTCTCTTTCTCTTTCTCCCTTGGCACCGCTTCGGACTCTCTCCCGTTCCGTCTTCCGGCGCGATGGTGATCTCCATGACGTTGCTGTGGGCATCGCGCTACAACGTTGGACTACGCGCTGGTGGTAGTGACGGTGATGGTGATGGTGGTGATGGCGATGGTGGTGGTGGTGGTGGCGGCGGTGAGATTGTGAGCCTGGCAGTGATGTGGAATGAATCGGCGAGGCAAGAGGAGAGGGAACTAGTTCAGTGAACAAAACGACGTGAGAGGCAGTTGCGCGCCCGTAACAACGCTTCGGCGTTGCACTCGGGTAGTCGCGGATGAGAGAGAAGAGAGCTGTAACCCTGATATTCCGTACCCGCGACATACAAATAAGAGACTCTTTTAATTTTATATTAGGCTGCCGGATAACCTTCTCTCTCTTTCTCTCTCTGTCTCTCTCTCTGTCTCTCTTCCTCTCTCCCTTTCTCTCTCTCTCTCTCTGTAGCTCTCTCTATCTATCTTTCTCTCTTTCTCAACGAAGTTTAACGGGTTGCGGTGAAGGAACTCTCGCGACACGCATCGGACATCATGATCATCAGCTTCGGCTTTACGCTCGCAATCATGTTACAAAGTTGAAGACTTACGTCTACTGTACGCGTATTATGTTTTTGTATGACGTAGCACATACATTTTCTCTTCGAGTTGTAGATTATAGCTCAGAGGGAATAAATAATGGCAGAATTTACGAGTAATGTCATCTTTTGGTCTACAGAAGCGTTCATTTTCTCACTATTGATAATCTTATGAATTTGTGCAGATTATATTTATATTATTATATTTATACATTAGTCAATACTATATATTAAAGTAAAAGGAGATTGATTTTTTTATTATATTAAAGTAAGAAAAAAGATAACTTTTCTAGAATATATTTTAAATTTATTAAAAATGTCACTATTACTATAGTCAATTATTATAGATGTTATTAAAATTAATTATTTCTTGCAACTCGTTTAAAAGACCTCAATGGTCTTTATATATAAAACTAACATGTTTCACACAAGAATTTCTACATTATTTCTCAATTAATGTAAATAACATATATTTCACGTATATAAAATATTATTATAGAATAAGAATTTAAATTTACATAGCATACATAAGTTATTGACAAGCTAGTTATCTAAATTTAAATTTTAAATCAGGAGGCAAAATTATTGAGCAACTAAATTTGAAAGTAGAACTTGTCCGAATCAAGTTGTATGATCTGCGTAAATTTTGACACACACACATACATATGCATTAAGACTTCTGAAATTTAATGTTCAATGAGCAGCACACACTTTTGTTTCACGCCGATATCTTAATTGGCCAACTACAATCCACTAATTAACATACGTGGTCGCTACTAAAGTTGTGAAAGAGAAAGAGAGAGAGAAAGCTATCAATCGGGGGCCTGAAACAATGACGAGATGCCATTCGCACGTTGCATTCCGCTACAAAAGGCTAATGCTATGTAAATATATAGAGTCTCGCCCATTCAAGCGCGATTTTTTCTCACGCGAGAGGATAGTCAAGGTGGCCTTGTACTTGGCATCCCGACCTTTTAGGAAAAGAGATGATGTACGTCATCGCGTACCGTTACGCACGATGCCGGTCGATTCGTCAACGTTTCACGGTCTCTTTGTCCCCTTTCAAGTACGCTCTACCGGAGCAAGACAAGTCGCGAAATGAATTCACAAAATGAAGATCGTTTAAACGATTGTCCAACGACGACAGCGAGAGAGAAGGCCGGCTTTTTTAGCGTCAACCGTGTCTCGACTCTCGCAGCTAAATCGCCTCTAAATAGCCGATATACCGGTGTATACAGAGAGAAATACGTGCTCTATCAATTTCCATACGCGCTCGTTTTACGAGAGGTTACGACGCCGCTGAATTTTACGACGTCGCGTCTTGGTAGTTTAAATAAAGTCCCTCTCTCCTCCTGAAATGATTTCCGTCAAGAGTAGACCTGCATTTCGCGATCGCGACACGTCGATTATAATATATCATGAGATAATAAAATTAATAAATTATTATTTTTATATATAATTATTAATTTTATAATATATCATAAGATAATAAAATTAATAAATTATTAATTTGTAAATTAATTATGTCTTTTTTCTTTCAAAATATATTTCTAAAAATATTTAAAAATACTTAGAAATATATAAAGAATGCGGATGTTTTAACATTAAAATATGTTAATGAAAATATTGAAGGAACTCTGATGCCGTTTACCGGTCTTTGCGTGACACGGATATCATGCTTACAAAAATTGTATGAAAAAAAAGAATGACATATAATTACAGAGACATGTTCGAGCATTCCTGCTGGATAATACTTTCGTTCGCTGCGGCCTTTTATCCTCCGACGTTGCACGTGTTTAGAGCTGAGGTATGCGACTTTGCGTTCGCCAATGGAGATTTTTTACATGATTTCGAGGCACAGTGTAGTCGGAAGAAAGGCTAGAGAAACTTTCAAGGAAGAAGAGAAATTTCAAAAATATAGATATCGAAATAGAAGGAAAAAGAATAAACGTCGTGAATTTTATTTTTATTAATATAACATTCTTTTTCAATTTAAAAGTATATTTAATTTTTGCAAAGTATAATGCTAGAGAAAAAAAAGAATTATGATTTGTTTGATGCATAATAAAACAAAAACAATATTAAACTCTGTACAATATTATTATGCATATTTTAATAACAAACTTTCCTCGTTTCTTTTATCAATAAATAATAAAGTATAATATTACATTGTATGTTTCTCGTTGTAGGCGTTATTAAAGGCATTGTAAAAGGCATTATAATAGACATTACTATATCAGCAATGTATTTAAAAGAATAAGAGGCTGTAAGAGGAAATATTTTTAATCGATCATTTGTCAGTCAAGAAATATAACTCGAAAAATTCGATCTGATATTCATGATGAATCGATCGACAGATCATAATTCGCTTCTTGAATTTGTTCACGCGATTTTGCAAGAAGATAGGTAGATTAATATTAAACTTTTATTTCTCACGTAAAATTCGTTTTCAAATCTAATCAAATCTATGCTGAACAAAATAATTAATTCAAGATCAAATTATCCATGTATGTTTTTGCTTGAGATTCATTTCTAAAATATATTTAAATTTATTATCACTACAAATGTAAATAATATTTGCAAACATACACATATTTGAATTCTTTTAAATATTTACATTATAAACATTATAATTAATATTCAATTAATATAAATTAAATTAATATAAATTAAATTAATTTTAATATTAAATTAATATTAAAATGTAAAACTTGTGCGTGTTTTAAATTTTATAATTGCTTTACTTTGATAGCCTATTGATAAATAAAAATATTTTTTAACATTTAATTTGACTGCGAAACATCTTTATGGAACGAAGCATTTAGAGCGGCCTGTGTCATCTGATAAAAACAAAATGATAGTCGCGCTGAACTAAATCGAAAGCCAATCGTAATAAGTGGCCGTCGCGTTTCTCTCTCCTTCTCTTACTCTCCATATCTAAACTCCATTACTCGATGTGCATAAAAATGATCAGTTAAACGGCGGAAAAGAGTCATTCAGCTCGCGTATCGGCGACTCATCCAGGACGAACAATCGCGCCGCTTATTCTATCCAACTGGAGCAAATTCCGGAATCCGTGAACTAGAACCGCGCTCGCTCCGGCGAGACGTACGTAAGGTTGAATCGATTTGCCGGTGTAAAACCGGCTGGGCGTCGGCGGCTGCTGCCAGTAGAAGGAGAGAGAGAGAGAGAGAGAAAGAGAGAAACGGAAAGGGAGAAAAAAAGGGAAACGCGCCGAAGGACAGCGGGAACGGGACGAGGGAAGCGGGAGACGAAACGGTGAGTCGAGAGTGCAACGGGGATATCGAAGGGACGTAGAAGGTGCAAGTGGGATGGAACGTCACTGAGAGGAAGAGATCGAGAGAGATAGACAAAAAGTAGAGAGACAGAGAGAAGATAGATAGATAGAGACAAGATAGAAAGAGAAAGAGAGAGAGAGAAAGAGAGAGGGAGGGAGAGAGAGATCAGGACCAAGACTCGATCTCTCCGACTGCCTCTGGCTGGCGGCAGAGTGGACGGACCGCGCTCCCCTCTTTCCGCCCACCAGCGACCGATCTCTTTCGTCAGTGCCGTCGTGGCGCGGGTTTCCTACAGGTGCATTTACAACCTGCCTCACGCTTTTTTTCATCCGTCTACCTGACAGACGCGGTGACGGGAGCCGCATCTCGGCGTCGTGCTGGTTTCGCGCGCGAAATCCGCTACCTGACGATCGGCGATGAATTCGAGCCGATGAGCCAGCTTCGGAGTCTCTACGCGTGAAACGTAAAAACGTTCACTGAACGTAGGAAGTGCTCGCGACGCATTCTCCCCTCGCTTCGTTCAACTACCGGAACTATCGCATCTCGCGCGTGAATCTACATCGTCAGGCACGGGCGAGCATTGAATACTCAAGGTGAGGAAATTCCACACGGTAGCAAACGGCACCGGAGCAGATCCGTAAGAAGAAAGAAAAACGGAAGGAAAGGGAAAGAAAGAAAGAGAGGAGGAAGGAGAAGGAGGGTGCCCGGATTCACATTTACGCACCTGCTCCTCATACCACGTCCCTACTCTAAACCTCCTGCGTTCAACCTGCCTGCCTGCCTGCCGCGCTTCATAGTCCCACCGGGTAGATAGGAATACCGGCGAACCTCCGCGCGCGCCCTCAGTCCGCCCTCGCCACTCGCGCTCACGGACCCGACCAGCTGTCCCGCTCTGACAGCCGCGTGCCGGCCGGAATCCACCTCTGTCGCGCCAAAGGCAGAGAGCTCTAGAGCGAGGCAATCTTGCGGCCGCAGCATCCAGCGGCTACTAGCGCTACTAGCGGCAGCCAAACGGAAAGACTCCCAGGCGAGTTGCCCTGGCGCGTGTGTATGTGCACGTGTGAGCCGTGCGTGAGCCTCACCTGCGTGGGTGTGCGAAGCCACGGCGGAGCCTACCTGGCGGCGTCCGACACGCAGTAACCCGCGCGCTCCTTCGCGTTCTCCCGCGGGAAAGAGCGTCGTTCTTCCTGGTGACAGCGATCGGCTACTTTTGGAGTAATTGGCCTTGGCCGAGGTGAAGAGCGCGTTGCCCGTGCGAAATCGAAGTCCAGGAGTCAAAAGTGCGACGGAAAAATATACGATCCGCTCGAGTCGAGCGATCTGTGCGTGTGTGTTTACTTGAGAGGAACAACGAGTGGGTACGCGAGGCGATCGCTTCGAGTTTTTCCTGGAGTCTGGGAGATACAACGGATGCTTCCGCGGATCGGACGGTCGACCAGTAAGGGATTTCAGACGGAGGAGATGCGTCGGTGGTTTACCGGAGGTGACTGAAAGGGAGACCTGGACGGCTTCCCCATCGACATCCTCCAGGTGAGAAAGCGAGAGAGAAAGAGAGAGAAAGAGGGACAGAGCGACGGGATTCATCCGGAGAATTTCCGGAGGAAGTGAGCGGAACGATCCGTGACTCGTTGCGTCCCTACATTCGCGATTCCAATATGGCTGCTGGGACTAGCCGTGACCGCTGGGTCCGCGGAAGCCATGTTGGCAGGTGTGCTCGGCTCGGAGAGATAACCAGTTCACGTTCGTAAAACGCGGCCGATACGCAACGTCGTCGATTCGTAGACGGAAATGAGCGCGTTACGATTGAATTATCGTTTAAATTCCCTCCCTCGTCTTCGAAGAGAGGAGCCTACGTGAACGATATGCGCGTGAGTTCCCAAGTAAATCAAGTACACACAAAGTGATTGATGGAAAATCTCCTTGTGAACGCATTGTCCGTACATATTTCCTGCACCGATTGCGAAAGTTTGCGGTGAGCGAGCTGGCACGCAGTGGTTCTCTATTCGTTAAACGTTTCGTAAAGTCCGCTAATACATTAACTGCTTTTTGATTAATTAGAGATTGTCTTCTTTTTTTTCAAACAGAGACTCGTAAGAGAAGTCGTATCTTGAAGGAATCATTTATTTACTGTAAACATTTACATAAATGTCAAGTTTTTAAAAATTATCTACTTGATGACTGCCATATTGAATCTGCTATTCTAATTTTGAGATTCATGATCAAAAAAATCTAATTACTAAACTACTTGATTCGGAAGAATTCGAGAAAATTCTTCTTAGAACCGCAAGATATTTAACATTTCGAAATTAGTATCATATTTCCCGAATTATGGCAAATATATTGTTCCCTAAAACGTTCTATTTAACTTTTTACGATTTGATAAAAAACCTTCAAAAAATTAAATAGATGCACTCTTTAGTTAGCACTTTCCTCGATCGCATCGAATGTACACAATATGTTTTTCATGTGCTTAGTCTTTATTTTTTTATACAAATTCACATACTCAGTATGGATGAGTATATTACTTTATTGTGTGTACAGTATTGTGCGTAGAATTTATGAAGAAAAAGAAATATATAACAAGACACTGTCAAAACAGATGATTCAGAATTTGAAAAATATTTTTCATGTGTATGTACATATTGGATGTACATGTATTGGATGTTCATGATTTTTATTTGACTTTAATGTTAAAGAGATTATTATATTACAAAAAATATATACGTGTGAAGCTTTTTTACAAGCTTTTTAATTGTTTATATTAATTTAAAAACTCGGCATTTTTAAAAACTTTCTAAACTTTTAAACCATAAAATAAATTATATCTATTTACATATTTCTTAATTAGTTATCTTAAATAATTAATCTTTCAAATGCAATTTATTTGATATATATTGAATGAATTTTTTTAAAAATGTCTTTTTTAAAAATGTTTATTAATGTAAATATTCTTTTATATATAAATTGGTTAAAATTTCATAGCTTATGAAGATTTGTTCTGCAAAGAAAATGATTAATTCTACCAAATTCTTCTATCTTGTTTTTATTTCTCCATCAGAGAGAGATTAACGCATACTCGTCTTTCAGCAATCGATATGCCGACCGACATCGTAGTTACGTCGGCTTCGGCCACGGTTTCGGAGGAGACGAGCAGAGGTCGGGACCTGGGGCTCGGACCGTCTTCAAGGTCAGGTCCCTCTTCCGCGGCCTCGTCGTCCTCCAATTCCGGGGCGGCGTCGACTTCGAGGGGGTTCGATCCAGCTGGCACACTCGCCGCCTATCATCATCATCGTCACAGCTTGGTGAGCAGTCTAGGCCATGCTCACCGGGAATCGTCAGCCTTCGTGCCTGTGGTGCCTTCTAGATTACATCTCACACCGTATCCAGGTGAAATACATCCCCATCTACCAGGTCCGCCGCCTGCGTCTTCGTCGTCGACGAATTCGGAACACGAAGTCGGTCCCGAGTCATCGGTGGCTAGAAAAAGTTCCTCGAGCTACGAAATCATGGCTATGATGGCTGATAAGAGAAAGGAATTGGCGGCTAGAGCTCTTTTGTTACCACCGCCCCCTCTCTTGGAACCTCCTCCCGGTTATCCTGTCTTTGCCGGACCTTTTCCTGGCAGTTCCGCTCTGTATCCTCCGGGTGGTCCATTAGCTCATCAGCATCTCGACCGGAGGCTACTCAGGGCACCTGGTAGAGCGTCCAGACCCAAGAAACAATTTATTTGTAAATTCTGTAATCGACAGTTCACGAAATCGTATAATCTTCTCATCCACGAGAGAACTCATACCGACGAGAGGCCGTACTCCTGCGATATTTGCGGCAAAGCGTTCAGGAGGCAAGATCATCTTAGAGATCACAGGTACATTGATTGTCTTTTTTTAAAACATCAAAGGCGATTGATTATTGCATAGATTAAAGTATGGGATTATGTTTATATTTTATTGTATTTTTTATTGTATTTTTATTGTATTTTTATTGTATTTTTATTGTATTTTTTATTGTATTTTTCTTGTAATAAGAATATTTACGATTAGAAGAATATAAATAGTAAGGATATAATCTACATATTTCTAAAATTTTCGAAAATTTCTGAAATATGAAGTTTTGAAAAAACTCTATTATCTCCTCATCTCTTTTGTCCTCAGGTACATCCATAGCAAGGAAAAACCTTTCAAATGCAACGAATGTGGCAAGGGCTTCTGTCAAAGTCGTACTCTGGCGGTTCACAAAATCCTGCACATGGAAGAGTCTCCGCACAAGTGTCCGGTCTGCGCGCGTAGCTTCAACCAGCGCAGCAACCTCAAGACACATCTTCTAACGCACACGGATCACAAGCCTTACGAGTGTACATCGTGCGGCAAGGTATTTCGCAGAAATTGCGACCTGCGAAGACACGCATTAACGCATGCTGTGGGTGACGTGCCACCTGAGGCGTTGGAGGAAGCTCTGAGGGACGACGACAGTCCCGAGGAAGATTGTCCCGAGCCAGGTCCTTCGTCTTCTGCCTCCTCCTCGTCGACCCCATCCGCGCCACCCGCAGCATCCTCCAGTTCGTCCTCCGGGTATCCCTCTCACGGATCTGCGACATCGTCGACCGCATCTGCGGCTCCAGCGGCCGCGTCGTCTCTACCGCAGAGACCCCAGCTTCAGATCAGAAGAGACCTACTGCCGACAGCGAAGTCTTCGACGGTGACCAGCGGTGCGTCCGCCGCGCATTCCGTTACCCAGAATCCGCCGGCCGCCCTCCCGCCGCCACCACCGCTCGTTCTGACCTCCTACCGGCGAAGGATCAGTTCTCCAGGTCCTTCTAGGGTGCTGCTGGAGCTCCAGGAGCGTGAGCGTGAGAGAGAACGCGAAATGGAGCAAAACAGGGAAAGAGAACGCAACAGAGAACGTGACAAGGAAGTGGCCAGACCGCCCAGAGCACCGACACCGCAGCCAGCGCCGCCACCACCAAGACCGGCACCGGCGCGCCAGGGCTTTACTATCGCAGACATAATGGGCCGATAGAGAATGTACGTTTGTTGTCGCAGGTAGTTTCCTCTTTTTTTTTTTTTATTGTGCCCCGGTTGCACAGATCGGTATAGACACTGCGAGGGTCATATATTATATAGAAGCGTAGGAGATCTTTGCGAAGAATGGGATGTCCTTTCTGTGAGCATTCTGAAAATTACACAATCCTGGAAGAGACGCATAAAAAGAAAAAAAAATACGATATACTTCGCGAAACTGCCGAAAAGTCCGAGCGTTCTTTACGTCCTTTATATTGCCGTACATTTTTTTTTCTATGCGTGTAGAAGTAACAAGGAGACTTAAACACGCAAGAGCGAGGCGACGAAAGTGCGATTGAGATTGTAATTTTCGAAGAACCTGCGTGCGTGATTCTAAATGATCTATTAATTTCGAAATACTTGATCCCCTCTCTCGTTCCAAGTATAATCTCGTGATTACATAATATACATTAAACATTTTTATGTCCAATGCATACCGACGCATAAACACGCCAGAGGAATTTTACATATCGTTACACGACTTGTTAACATTGTGAAATAATTTCCCGAGGAACGAGACGGTTGAGCAAATGCGTGCCAAAAAACGTGCCTTAATCAAGATTGCCACCGAAGATTCCGTCCTTCAAAAAAAAAAAAGAAGAACAAATAAACTCGAATGCAGGGACCACTACTAAAAGGGACTACAACGCTTCTAAACTCTACAAATGCGCGCGCACAGACGTGCGAGAAAAGAAAAAAAATCAACGAATAAATGGTGCCTTAGAGCGGTCCAGAGAGATTTTCTCCCTCGTCTAGGGAGAGACGGTGGACCAAAACCGGAAAGGTGGCATCCCTCTGGCCTTAATACAAGCCCGTTCGTTCTCGCTTCTCTCGAGCTTCGTTCGAGCTTCGAGTCCGTCCTCTCGCGATCGCGTTGCAAGAGGAGAGAGACGATAAAGTCCACGGGGATAAGATTATGGAACTCTGCGCGAGGAGCACTCTTTTGTCCCGCACTCGGTCGAGTTCGCGAGCAGGAGGAGGATAATGCAAATTTTGCGGTCGGGGGGTAACAACCGGTGTGTGTGTGCCACCGTGGCAGGTGCAATACACGGGCGCTTTGTACCTGCCTTGGCCTGCCTCTCCGCGCGGATCCGCGCGCGCGAAATACCTGCTCCCGCTACTGTGCTCCCGCCGCTTTTCCCTTCTAAAAATATTCCGCCGACCCTAGACTGCGAATGGCATCAATATTTTTTTTCCCCCTTCCCGTCCTCTCCCTCTCGCTCGCTCCCTTCCTCCCGCCCCCGCGGCGAGGAAGAGGCATTAATGGTCCTTTTGTCGGGACCAAAGTGTACACCGTCCGACCGCAGAGAAAGAGAGAGAGAGAAAGAGAGGCGATCCTTTTAGCCTACGCGCCGACACAAAGGTATACTTTCCTTTAAGTTCGAGATTCTTTTGAATCTCGAAGAAACCATGTAAGAGCGACTGTTCGAGAAAGAGAGAGAGAGAGAGAGAGAGAGAGAGAGAGAGGGAGGGAGGGAGAGAGAGAGAGAGAGAGAGAGAAAGAGAATGCGTTACAAGAGAGCTTATCGTTTTTGAAACGGCTACATTGTGATTAAATTAAATTTCGACGTGCTCGAACATTCGAATAATACATATGTTCGATTATTCGTCAATACACGAGTAAAAGATATAATAGAAATAGCTACAAACATCCTATGTGCCTGAAACTGACTATATGTGAACTTTTATAACTAATAATAAGTGAAAAAGTATTTTGTCTTTCATTATACAATATTTTACAAACTGAAAATTTATATAATGATGATTTATATAAAAATATGAGCAGTTATTTTTATAGTATTTTATAGTATTTTGGACGAAATTATTAGACAAGTAATGAAATAAATTTTTATATAATTCGTTTTACGCGAATATGTGTTATTATGAAACAAAATATGATTTCATTTTTTTAATCTAATTTGTTCTTTTTTAAATTAGTTTAAAATTTATTTCCAAGTTATCTTAATCGAAACGAAACGTTGTGATAAGAATCTCGCGATTTTTATAAATATGTAATTTTTATAAATATCTGACATGTAATATACTAAAGAATTTTACATTATCAATGAAAGTTAACTAAATCCAGTAGTAAATCATCGTCTGATAAGCGAAAAACCCTCTGATAGGTTCGATTTTTGGACCGCATATAGATCGAAGAATAAATAAAACACGAAAGATCTATTGTGATAAGAATGAGAACGAACAACGAATCTTAATATAAGTAAATAAATAGTGGAGAATTGCAACGAAACATTAAAATAATTAGAGTAACTTTATGAGGTGTCCAAATTTTTAAAAAATTAAATTTAAAAAATTGCGAAAAATATGAACATTATAAAATATGAGTATTGTATTACTACATATGCGTTTGATATTATAAGACTATGCATCTGGCTCTGATTGACCGTTATGTTTATTTATAACAAATTCGGTTGGATCCACTAATACGCAATTGATACAATTAAAGGCTGTTGTATACAAATTGGCACTGATATAAATAACTAAAATAAGTAAAATAATTAATTCTCCGATTTATTATATATCGTTATTTATGAATAACAATATATAATAATAACTTGTAGTATTAATTATCTTATTATTCTACTTATACTTGTAAATTTATATACAATAGTTCTTGATGTGCACCAGTGTGCACTGTTTCAATCCAACCGAATTTGTTATTAATTGCATATTCGTGAACCTCTATACTCGTGAACTTCGATGCTTAAAAATATTTAATTTTATTTAGATTGTGTGTAAAATTAAATATTTTTTTTGCTTGCCCTTTTATAATCTTATTACAAACACCGTTCCGATTAGGAAGAGAGACGAAAATTTTCAAATTCTCCGTTAATTGATAACTGTACAAGAAGGGATCAATGAAATCTTCTCGATATGCGAATGATAAAAAGAATTCTTGATGAAAATATATTCATAAATAGTTTTATTCTGATGGAAGAAGTTTTATTATGATGACTGTAAATCATCGAATCAAGAAATTTTGCATCATCGAATTTTTCTACCAAACCAAGATAGCAATCTGAATTAATCAAATAATATGGCATCAGATGAAAAAAGGCGATAAAATTCTTCGGATTTTATTCATTTTCAAAGCTTCGCATTTATGGTTCAATAAACACGTCTATCAAACCAATTGATTTAAATGCACAATCAAAGTTATAATCGAAAATCATTACTACCAAATATTACAGCAATAATTAAATATTAAAAATTAAACTATATGATATCAATCAAGCGTTATCATTTAAATGCGAGAAAGAAATTAAAAATTTATAAATTTTATCTAAAGAATATTTCTTCTTACCTGACATGTATAATATTTACAACGCATTCGTATAGTCGAGTACATGGGACTATTTGCGTAATGTTTTATATGTAATTGTAATATTATGTAATTACTATTTTAAGTATATATTGCGAAAATTTTGTCAAAATATACGGAAGTCGGATATTACAATATTAATTAGTATTGCGATTCATAAAAAAATAATTAACAAATAATTACCAATTGTATCGACATATTCAATTCATGATAATTACGTGCAAAATATGTCAACAGGCTCAGCGAAATTATATATGCGCGTTTTGAAAGTCTATTCGCTTGGAACGTGGTAACATTAGCAACTTACGTTCTAAGACAGGAATTTTTTTGTGTATGTGTATGCGAGAAAGAGAAAAAGAGGGAAAAATTTTGTGTATGCGAGAAAGTGTGATAGAGATAGAAGAAGAAGAAAAAAAGAAGAAACGAAAAAGAAGTAGAAGAATAATAAAGATACAGAACACAAGAGGATGGAGGAGGAAATACTTGAGTCGCATTTTGCAGAGGCTCAATGTATAGCGATATATACAATGTACAATATATTACGTACAACGAAAGCCACCTGCAACGTAAGCTGCAAATGTGTGCGAGCAATCAATCTCTCTCCTGTTACTTTCCACTTGATTAGTTTATTCCTTGTGTATAAGTGCCTATATATATTTTTAGATTTATATAAGAGAGTTAAGCGTATCTTTGTAAATTATATATTAAGAAAGATGAAATAAAAAAAGTGTCTCCCCAAGACGCAATTCATACAAGCAAATTCATAACACATATTCATATCAAGAATGTTTTTTTTAATTACATTATTCAAACATTGCAAAATAATTTACAATTTCTTACTGCACAACTTCAAAAAAAGTAAACAGTACCATATAAATAGAAATTGTTATTAAAATTGCATAAATAAATTTCTTTTTAGCGCGAATAAATTTTCTATAATAATTTAGTAAATTACGTAAAACTTTGTTGATTAGCTGAAATTTATTTTATAAGAATGATTGAAGTTTTAATAATTTATAATCAACTTGATTTAACAATAATTTACGCAAATTACAGCATGTAAAAAAATTGAAATATCGACTGGAATACTAGAATTCTTTCTTTTCCTCGGAAGAGATGCTGCCGGAAATACGTAACCGACAGTGGCTAACTTATCTGCTCTCACTCAGTCAGTAATCTAAAATTATAAGATAAATATCTTCAAGATAATTCTTCAAGATAATTAATTAATCTTATAAATAGATTAATAGTTGCATTATAAAATAAGAAAAAATATTATTTATATTTTCAAATATTATTTATATATAATACAACAATTTTTGTATTTATCAACTGCTAGTTTTTCGTTCTGTCTTCTAATATCTCTGTCAGATAGCGCGAATAGCTTCTACAAGTATGCGGTGAATATAAAGAGAACGAAAAGAACAATTTATATGTTAGATAAAAAATCTAAAGAAAGGATGCGCACGTAAACGTTAGAAGATATAAATATTCATAATTTCAAAGAAATACATAATCGTTGAAGCCCAAGTTTGAAAATGCGAACTTTAAGCATATCTTTAAGCAACTTAAAGCATATTGACAATGTCCACTACGTTATCTTAATCTTTCCTGAAAGAAAAAAAGATTCTGTTTGACGGGAACCATCCATGCACTATGGTTCAAACAGCATGTAAGTGAATACAAAGATAAGATAATTCTGCGATGTGCCTTTCAACTTTGCGAACTGCGTTTTTCCCATTTCCGGTTGAACAGGAATAAGAGCTTGAATATTTCATGTCGCAGAACATATAAAAATATTATTAACTTTTAAAAATCATGAGTCATTTTGATCCTATCGATATTTTAATAATAAAATATTTCGGAGACTTTAATCAATAAAAAAAACATTTAAAATATATTTTTTTAAATTTTTGTTGTCATTTTTTATAGATCAAGAAATATATTTAAATTTTTGTAAATTTTTCTAAGCATTTTGAGAAAACTGAAATAAATATTGCAATAACATATGATCAGGAACAGAGTAATATAATTAATACACACTGGAAAATGTATATTGCATTCATATTGTCTAATTTGCTCTTTCCAGTTGGAGATATATATTGAAAGAATTTTAATTTACTCTTAAACATATTTTTAAAAATATATGAAATAAAAATTTTTTATGAAATGTTACAAATCATTATTAATCCTTTGCACTCGGATGTCTCCTCCGAGGGGATATCGTAAGTCTAGATGGCGAGTACAAAGGATTCATCCAATTATAGTAATTTTTAGATTTGTTTTTAAATAATAACAAAATTCTTGAGACAATATAAGCTTCAATCAATAATAGATCAAAAGATTATCATTTTTATATATTTTGTAATAATTCTTTTATTACAAAATTATAATAGCCCAACTTCATTAAAAATTTGGTTTAAATAAAGATCTATTTCTCTGGATTTATCTGGATTTTCTGAATAATAAGAACGAAAATTCTTGTTTTAAACAGAACAATGAAAAATTTAATATAGAAATAATAAAATGCTTTTTTTATCGTACGAAAAATCACAGCATTATTTGGCAATATTTATTATATAACACATATTCACATATATCAAGTTACTTTATTTGCAGCAAAACCGAGATATTTCCAACTTTGATGGAAAATGGTGTCCACCGTCAAAGCAATTATTCGAGCGACAGAAATTTCTATT